TTGACCAAGATACTACTCTTGTTGGGCAAATTCCAGGTTCCCCCTCTTCTCTTCAACTCAGGAAAGAGTAAGCACACCAAGTGGTGAAATCCATTTTTTTTTTACTACCGGTTCTGTGGGCATGGCTTGGTGGGTGTGGTGTGGCTTGGTGGGCATGGCAGGGGAAGGATATTGCAAAATCTCCATTCCCACCCCACTCTAGGGCCAGCCAGAGGTGGTATTTGCCAGTTCTCCAAACTACTCAAAATTTCTGCTACCAGTTCTCCAGAACCTGTCAGAACCTGCTGGATTTCATCCCTGGATTAAACCCATCTCTACTCAACAGTAATAGTACTTCAACAGTATTCCCAATTAAGTGACTCTCAAACTGATGTCAACTCCATAACTGGTCTTCCTTCTCTGATGAACTTGGTGTCCTGTGAGGGGGGGGGAACTGTTCTGAGCTTCTTATCTGCTAAAGGAAGTACAGCCAGAAAAGTTCACTGCTCTACTGAGCATGAAAAACTTTCAAGAATTAAAAACTGCTTTGGGTAGTCAGCCTGTGTTCCAAAATCTAGAGTATAATTTTGTTGTTGGACAGGTTGATACTTTTGATGTGAAGTTAGGGGAAGCGTTACAATGTAAAAGCTTGATGATTCATTTATTTAAAATATTTAATTAAATATTTCAACTAACTCTGGCCACATCCCAAATAAATACCATCTGGCTATATATAGCTACATAAGGGATATAAAACTGCATCCTTCTCCCAATGTCTCAAAATTATGAATACAGGTAGTCCTCGGCTTACAACCACAATGGAGCCACAAAATTTCTGTCACTGAGACATTTGTTAAGTGAGTCTTGCCCCATTTTATGACCTTTCTTGCTACTGTGGTTAAGTAAATCACAGGAGTTGATAGGCTGGTAACCCAGTTGTTAAGTGAATCCAGCTTCCCTATTGACTTTGCTTGTCAGGTCACAAAAGGTGATCACATGATCTTGGGACACAGCAATGGTCATAAATATGAATCCGTTGCCAAGCATCAGAATTTTGGTCACGTGATTATGGGGATGCTGCAAAGGTCCTGACTGTGAAAAAGGACTCTAAGTCACTTTTCCCAGGGCCCTTGTAACTTTTTTTTTTTTTTATATTGAAAAGGTTTTCAAATACAAATTTTTCCCCCTTTTTCCCCCCCCTCCCCTCCCTCCCTAACCCCCCCTCCCCACCCTTCCCCCCCTGTGACTTCTTCGTAACAAAAAAAAACCCTAATTCATAACAGATTACTTACTCCCTCCTCAAAATACTGACCTTTACTTACTAAAAGTATTATAAATCCCCCTTTATCCATACATTTCAGAAAAGAAGAAGAGAAAAAAAAAAACAAAAAAAAACAAACACATTATACTATAACTATTATAAAATAACTCTAATTTAGCATAATAGTGTTTTATATCTATGCATTATTGCAACAATTCAAAACCACCTTCCACTTTAAAACTATACAATAAGTCCTACTTTAATAACATTTCAAAGCGGGCTCCCCATAAAATCTAATTTAACATTTATTCCACTCTATCCATTTCCTCCACTCCCCTAAATGTATCACTTAAAAATCCCTTTTCTTAAACTAATCAGTCTGTAGCTAGCTTATTCACCCACTGTCTTACAAATTTACCATACACAACAATTCTTGATATCTTTAATTCACTGCCCACACTACTTAAAAATATATATATATATATATTCCATTATATCTAAATAAAAAAAGAAAAGACAATAACTTTAAATTTATAGTCCATATAATATCTTCTTGAAGTCTTTCCACTGGATTGTTAAAACCAACATCCATAATAGGGTGACATAGCTTGCGGATGCAACAGTTTATTCAAGATCTCCAATCATATCTGCCCCCATCAGTAGTAAACATCTTCTTATATATATAAAAGTAAAAACAACCACCCGAGTGACATTATAATTGTATTCCATATAATAATAATTGTGGGTTTCATCAGGATTATTAATTTCCATCATCGTATTGGGTAACAACCCGATCTTCTGCATGTCCCAATGTGATTCTCTTGCCTTATAATTCAAGATAATTATAATATATTTATCAACACAAAAAGAAGTTTCAAAGTAGATAATTCAAAACCATCAATTTGAGGCTCTTTCCATGTCCCAAAATTACGGCAATGCAGAGATCTGCCACTATCCTCAGGATGATATTGACCAATATGTCGCCTCCTCTATGTTTTCACATAATCATTCATATTTTAAAATCACTGGCTTCACTGTTGCTTGGGTTAGAAATTTCTATTTTTGTACAACCTATTTCTTTTTTTGTTTTCTTTTTGTGGGTTTGACCTCCATCCTAATTTTTTGTGTCTCGCATTTCTTTTTTATCCCTTGTATATCCTCTAATTGGTTTCCATGCTTGTCCTTGCCTTGATAAGTCATCACATTAAAATCAGATGGCACTTCTCTCAAATTTGTAGATAATCCAGCTGGGGTATCCGATAAATCCAAAGGCAATTTATCTGGTACAGTCTGTCTTTAGTTCCAGCTCCTTCTGCTTATCCTGTATTATATCTGAAGACGTTAAATTCATTTTCAACCTATTTTGATAAAATTCTTCCGCCCTTTCAACAGTATTTAACTGGTATCTTTCTCCTTGATATCTCAATATAATACCAACTGGGACGTCCCACCGGAATTGAATATTTCTCCTTTTTAACTCAGACACCAGAAAGCCAAATTTCTTCCTTTCCATTAGTATCTTAGGTGGGAGTTCCTTGTAAATCCAAATCTTTCTTCCATACAATTGCAAATTAGAATTGAAGGAATTTTGCACAATTTTATTCCTAATTTCTTTATCTGAAAAATAGATTACCACATCTCTAGGCAATTGCCTTTGCTTGGCAGTCCAGGAGTTTATTCGATAAGCTCTGTCAATCCTACAAAACACTTCCTCAGGTTGAATCTTTAAAATCCCAGCTAGAAATTCAGAAGATATTTTCCTTAAGTCATCTCTGTTATTTTCCTGCAAACCTCTAAGTCTTATTGCATATTCTGTGAAATTATATTGTATCTTTAGAACCTCTTTTTGAATCCTCTGTTCCAGATATTCTACATTACCAGACTTTTGGTCAGCATCCATTTTAAATTTTTCTTCTGAACTATAATCCTGAATATTTAACAAATCATTTTCAATTTTTTGAATTCTATTGTCCAATTTATCTTGAATTTCATCCATTTTTGACTCTAGTAAATTAGTATTTGTATCCAACCGAATCATGAATTCTGACAATTTTAAAAATTTTTGCTGCAAAAAGTCAAACTTGGATTTCACCAATTCCTTAGTTTCCTGCTTAAATTTTTCAAGTTGCTGATTCACAATCTCATCCCTTCTTTCAATCTCCTCTAAGAGAAATTCTATTATATTAAAATCAGGTTTCTGGGACTGAAGAGTTAAAACTTGTTCCTTTAAATTCTTAGTGGGGGAATCCCCCCCACCTATTTGTTTGTCTGACTTCACAAGCCTCAGTGCCATGTTTCCGCCTAAGCAGGCTTTGTTAGAAGAAGAAAAAAAAAAAAAACAAGACAAAAGACTTCCAGCCAGCAACACTCAAGCCTCCAGGGAAAAAAGAGAAAAACAAAAACAGGAGCGGAGTTTTGTCTACAAATGTAGCCAGTGGTATTTATTCCGCTACATTGTAATAATAAAAAACGGAAGAACTTTCCCTCTCAAACTCTTCTCCAGCCGCGGCAGACGCCATTTTAAAAAGAAACTTTTTTCCTCTTTCTCTTCCTCTATTCTCTTAAGTAATTTTTAAAAGATAAGTAAAATACTTGCGCTTCAGTATTACAGGTCCAGCTCACATTTTCTTTGAGTAATCTGTCAAATTCGCAGGCTTGCTTTTGACGCCTGGCTCTGCATTAGCAGAGGTCTCCCAAAGCCCGGAGCAGCGGCTGGGGATATGGGGCATCTCATCCGCTCCATCCCAAAAGTAAAAGAAAAACTTTTGGGACTCTGCAGAGAGTTCTACCCACCCCTGCCGGCTCTATCTCCGTTTCCTCATGGGAACGGAGTTTTTTCGAGCCGCCGTTCCGTTGTGAAGGCGGCTCTGACAGGCAGTGGAAGCTGACGATCCCAAAGGAACGTCTGGCGGCGGCCAGCAGCAAACAGGAAGTCTCCGGCCCTTGTAACTTTGAACAGTCACTAAATGAACTGTTGTAAATCAAGGTCTACCTGCATCCCTTCATCTCAATGACCTCCTGAGCACATGGAAGTCAGAGAAGATGTAAGAGATATAACAGATTAACAGAGTTGGAAGGGACCTTATAGGTCATCTAGTCCAACACCCCCACCTCTGGCTCAAGCAGGAGACCTTATACCATTTCTGACAAATGGCAGTCCAATCTTTTCTTGAAAGTCTCAAGTGATGAAGCTCCCACAACTTCCGAAGGCAAGCTGTTCCATTGGTTGATTGTTCTCATTGTCAGAAAGTTCCTCCTCATTTCTAGGTTGAATCTCTCCTTGGCCAGTTTCCATCCATTATTCCTTGTCTGGCCTTCAGGTGCCTTGGAAAACAGCTTGACCCCCTCCTCTCTGTGGCAGCCCCTCAAGTATTGGAAGATGGCTATCATGTCTCCCCTGGTCCTTCCCTTCACTAGACTAGCCCAGTTCATGTAACCCTTCTTCGTATGTTTTAGTCTCCAGTCCTCTAACCATCCTGATTGTTCTTCTCTGCACTTTTTCTAAAGTCTCAACATCTTTTTTTATAGTGTGGTGACCAAAACTGAATGCAGTACTCTAGGTGTGGTCTTACTAAGCCCCTTCCTCTTTTATTGCTATTTTAAAAAGTTCGTTACAGTGACGAGTCTCCTTCCCGCTCTGAGGGAAGCTGAGTATTATTACACTGCAATGTTCATCCTCTGCCAACATTGATCCGAAAGCTCTGGAAACGGTTCCGTGGAAGGAGGGGCGCGGAGAAGGGCTGTCGCCCCGGCCCACCGACTACAAGCCGCCACCAGGCCGCCAGAGGCCCGGTTGGGACTCCTGGCTCCTGTGGGCGTGATCGGAGCTCCTCCTTTTCTCTTTCGAGGGGCCGGGCCTGGCGGGTGTGTGTTTCGGCGGTAACCAGGAAGACGGACCAGGAAACTCCTGGGATCGCCAGGCGAGAGCGGCGACTCTGGACGGCTGACCATGGAGGGCGCTGGCCGCGAGGTAAGCAGCAAATAGCCGGAAAGCGAGATGAAGGAGAGCCCGAGAAGAGGCCTAAAAAGCAAGCAGGCAGGCAGGGTCTTCGCTGCGATTCAGTTCCGCTGGTTCCCACGTGATCCTCGGAGGAGTTTGGGGCCGACGGTTGAACGCGGTCCCCCCACCCCCCTTCGCAAAGTCGAGTTCGGCCACTGAGTTGATCATCTCATGGCACTTTCCCAGCTTTATTTTGTAGTAGAAGGGGATGCTCAGGGTGGGCAGCTATAGCTAGTAGAGGCAGAAGGGCACAACTTTGTTATTCCTCCCCCCACCCCACCCCTTCTTCTTCTTCTTCTTCTTCTTCTTCTTCTTCTTCTTCTTCTTCTCATATATATATATATATATATATGGGTTCATGTAGGAGAAGCTTCTTTGGGACGTCACTTGCCTCTGGAGAAGTTATCACAATGACTCTGTGATAAATGAAGTTCTGCTTGATTGCCCCGTCTCCAGCACAAACATCTCAGAAAAGATGTCTGTGGAGATTCTCAGTCATCCAGGTGATGGTTGTCCCAAAAGAAACGTTTTCAAAAGGTAACTGGAAGACTTAAGCGAATGAGAAGTAAAACATCTTCAAGCAAAAACAAAAGCAAGTCCAGTTGCCTTTTGAAAAGTCACCTTTGGGGATCTCAGAAAAGAAGACTTCCTACTGTACATGCAGTCCCAAACTCAACTTGATGAGTGGTCCAGGTTACCGATATGCCTCCACAGGGAGAGCTGGGGTTCAGTTTTCCTGTCTTCAGATATTTACAGGATTTGACAGAATATCAGCAGGTAGAAAAGCCAGCATCACGTAGACAGAAATCATTGGTGGGTTTTCAGCACAAATGTTTTCTATGTACACTTATTGAGACCTGAAGACCCTGCTAAGTCTACTAGATCTTTTGATTACCATAGTGGAATCATAAAACAAATATTTAGTTGAACATGATATCGTGTATGTCTTTTAAACAATGAATATTTTATTATAATGTTTTAAAAGATTATTTCTTCCTGCCATGATTGGGAATATGTCAAATACAACTATGAAGGGTACCCTTATCTTTTAAAAATGAAAATTATTTAACTTAATAGTATTTCTTACTGTTTCCAAAAACTATCTTCATGAATGATTTTTTGCTAGCACAGGTAGCAAGGAATTGTTTTTAAAGGCCAGGTCTCCACAATAGAATAAAATAGTTTTTTTTAAAGAATTCTTTTATTGGCCAAGTGTGATTGGACACACAAGGAATTTGTCTTTGGTGCATATGCTCTTAGTGTACATAAAGAAAAAATAAAATATATTTGTCAAGAATCATAAGATACAACACTTAAGGATAGTCATAGGATACTAATAAGCAATCAAATAATTATAGGAAACAATAAAAACAATATAAGTTGTAAAGATACAAGCAACAAGGATATAGCCATAAGTGGGAAGAGATAGGTACTAGTAAGGATGAGAAGAAGAATAGTAATACAGTCTTAGTAGTTAATTTGACAGTGTTGTGGGAATTAGTTGTTTAGCAGAGTGATGGCATTCAGGAAAAAACTCCTTGTGTCTTCTTGTTCTGGTATACAAAGCCCTATAGCGTCGTTTTGAGGGTAGAAGTTGAAACAGAATGCAAGAGGTCTGTAGATATTTTCACAGCTCTCTTTTTGACTCATGTAGTGTACAGGTCCTCAATGGAAGGCAGGTTGGTAGCAATTGTTTTTTCTGCAGTTCTAACTATCCGTTGAAGTCTGTGTCTGTCTTGTTTGATTGCAGAGCCAAACCAGACAGTTATAGAGGTGCAGATGACAGACTCAATAATTCCTCTGTAGAACTGTGTCAGCAGCTCTTTGGGCAGTTGAGCTTTCTGAGTTGGCGCAGAAAGAACATACTTTGTTGTGCTTTTTTGATGATGTTTTTGATGTTGGGTGACCATTTTAAGTCTTGAGATATGATAGAAGCTAGAAATTTGAAGGTCTCTACTGTTGATACTGTGTTGTCTAGTATTGTAAGAGGTGGTAGTATAGGAGGGTTTCTCCTAAAATCTACCACCATCTCTACAGTTTTGAATGTATTTAGTTCAAGATTGTTCTGGTTGCACCACAATGCTAGTTGTTCAACCTCCCGACTGTATGCAGATTCATCATTGTCTCGAATGAGACCAATCACTGTTGTATCGTCTGCAAACTTCAGTATTTTAACAGAGGGATCTTTTGAGATGCCATCATAGGTATATAGAGAGAATAGAAGTGGAGAGAGCACAACCTTGGGAGCTCCTGTGCTAATTGTACAGGTATCAGATATGATTTTGCCAGCTTCACCAGCTGCTTCCTGTCTGTTAGGAAGCTTATGATCCATTTACAAGTATGGTCAGGTACAGCTAGCTGATTTAGTTTAGTTAAAAAAATATCTGGAATGATGGTATTGAATGGTGAGCTGAAGTCTACAGAGAGGACCCTTACATAGGTCTTTGGAAATTCAAGATGTTGTAGGATATAGTACAGAGTCATATTAACAGCATTATCTGTTGATCTATTTGCAAATTGTAAGAGGTCTAACAGCGGATCCGTGATGGTTTTCAGGTGGGCCAGCACTAGCTTTTCAAAGGCCTTCATAACAACAGATGTCAGAGCAACTGGTCTGAAGTCGTTCAGCTCCTTGATGGAGGGTTTCTTTGGCACTGGGATGATAGTAGAGCATTTGAAGCAAGAAGGAACATAGCACATCTCTAGAGATTTATTAAAGATGCGGGTGAAGATGGGGGCCAGTTGGTCAGCACAAGGTTTTAGCACAAGAAGGAGTTATCTTGTTTGGGCCTGGTGCTTTTCCTAGCTTTCATCTATGAAATAGACTTTGCACCTCATTCTCTGTAATCACCAGAGGTAGGCCCAATGAGATAGTGTAGGTTGTAGGAGGCTTGGCTGATGTTGATATGTCTGTGATGGGCATTATGGAGATGGGTGGTAGTAGTTTTCTCTCAAACCTACAGTAAAACACATTTGGGTCATCTGCCAGTTGTTGATTTCCTTCAGCATGTGATGGAGGTTTGCTGTAACCGATAATATTTTTAAGAGTTTTCCACATGTTTGCTGGTTCATTTGTTGAGAACTGATTCTTTATCTTTTCAGAGTAGCTTCTTTTTGCTGCTTTGATCTCTCTTGTTAATACATTTCTGATTGTACAGGATTCTATCACCTTTTCTGTAGGCTTCCTCTTTGGTACGATGTAGCTGCTTACGTTTAGCTGTGAACCAAGGTTTATTGTTACTGTATATTCTCAGGTTTCTGGATGGCACACATAGATCTTCACAAAAACTGACATATGAGGTTACAGTATCATCCAAGTCTACAGAGGTATCTTTGAACACGAAAACATCTTCGAAACAAAAGTGTTTCTATGGAAAAGAATGGCTCGCACTTTGATATGAAAATATCCTGGTATTAAACTAAGCAGCAAAGTAGGAAATTGGCCCCTATGCCTCTCATGGAGATGTGCAAAATAATCTTTTTTAGTTATAAGATTTACCTAATAGGAGAAGGGAAAAGTTATTTAGTAAAAGCTTTTTTTTAAATTGTCAGTCATATCCCTGCCCTAAACATTATTTGAGATGCTCTCAAGGCACCAGTTTGTCATGTCCAGTAACTATCTAATAAAGTATAGCCACCTGATGTAAAGAATAATTAAGATGCTCAACATCACATCTTGAATACCACTGAATAAATGCATCAAACAAGACTAAATTGCTCATTTTGGTTGGGACCTAATATCATGCAATTGTCACTTACATGTTTCATCCCAAGGCAGGTACACACCAAGAGTAATTAATTTATTTAAGTTCCCTACAGCACCATTCAAAGGACAGTCTGACTGATTTCAATTCAGTTTCCTCCTACCTAGTTGAGCAAGTTCCTATTTGTAGATGCTGAAAATTAGTTCCATTGTTAGCAAACCAGCACGGGATCTGGTGGTGGTTTTGCAGTTGCAAAATCATTGTTGCTTTGGTGCAGTAGTGGGTTCCACTTACCTTCGCTACTGGTTCGGAACGGTGTGTGTGTGCTTTTGTGCCTCCCCCTACGCTTTGTTCACATCTTTTCCCAGGATTGCTGTAAAAGGGCAAATAAGCATATTCTATTAGAACTTAATTGAATGTGGAGTTTTCTTTGTGATATGTTTTTCTCTTTTTGATTTATGATTGGCATTTAATAACAAAATGACATGTCCCAAAGTACAAAAAAGCAGTTTCCTAATTACTTGGAAGAATACGATTGTACTGGCCTAAATTTTTGATCAAGATATGTATTAATTTATTCATTTTAATTTACAGTGTCAAAGTCACAGCCATGGGTCCTTTCGTCATCATGGCCACACTTGGCTTAGTTCGTATGAAGATAAAGATCTATCAAAAGAGCATGAGATGCTGCCTTTTGTGGAGGATTACAGTAATTTTGACATTGTCAAAGCAGCCCAGTAGGTTTCTTGAACAACCACATTTATTCTTATACCACAATTATAAAAAGAAATCAAATATTAGCCAAAATATATTTTATAGGAAAATGTGTGCATATCCTTCCATTGCGGTTGTAAACCATGAGGAAGTTTTTGTACAGATGTAGGTTGTATAATATGTTTACCATGATTTGAAATGGCAAAGTGTATAACGTTTTTAAAAACTTTCATTTAAACATGTTAAAAATAAGATCAATATATTTTTATTTCAGTTTTTTGAAAAAAATTGATTAGCTAATTAGAAATTAGATTAACAAGAAGCTAATGCCAATCTTTTCTACGTAGAGAGAGAAGCATGTAGAACTTTCATGAAATGTAAATGAATAATTAGCCGAGTAGTTGAATACTAAAGTCATTTAAAGGTACAAATAAGAAAATAGCAGAAGTCTCTTTCAACTAGAGCTCAGTGTGATTTCATGGACCTATCCATGTAATTTTCTTGGCAAAATTATACAGACATAATTAGCCATTTCCTTTCTAGGAACATTTCCCCCCCCCCACACACACACACTTCACCTTATAAGCCTGTTTTTTTCTGGTGTTCTTCTATCCAATTACTAACCAGATGTGGCCTTAATTATCTTCCAAGTGCAAATAAGGTCAGACAGGTTCTACCACCTCTTAAATATAAAGCAGGAAACTATTTCATAGATTTAGCATAATGGTAATGACTAATAATTAGTGTCAATTGCTAGATACAAATGTGCAGCCTCATTTCAGAAAATCTGGAGTGTTCTGTTAACAAATTTTAATGTACTTCTGAAACTTACATTTTGCTGAACTTATGGCTGAACTTCTGGAAATTAATAGCTCTAACACAGAATAACACAGAATAGCCTAATTATTGTTTTACAAGATGCACTAAGGCAAAACTAAAATCACATTGTGTCTTAAACTTACTGATGAATCTTTGAAAATTCTGAATGTCAGAATATTGTTCTCAACTTTTGAGTTTTGGAATATTGATTCTTGCTTCCTTTAGTTTTAATATTTTTTAAAATAACCAAGCAACATGTATTATGTCACTATTCAATACAACGTCTCAAGCATTTTTAGGTTGGGATGTCTATGAGGATCTTTTGTTTATTTTTGTCAGTTTTGTTTATTTTTGAGTCAGTTTTGATTCCTGACACTAAATGGACAAGTATGTGGACACTACATGAAATTTTCTTTGCCACCTTTTTTTGGAAGTGGTTTACCATTGCAAAATAATTTAGCTCATTTCATGCGTAAGGAAAGGGTCAGATTCATTGTCCTTTAGTTTGTATTCCAGTGCCTTTAATCATTACACCAAGCTAATTTTGTTGTGAGAAATAATTATGCTAAACCTCAACCTATTATAAAAAATAATACATATAATATCCTGTCACGACACCATCTTAAACTACATTCCAACCAGTGTAATAGTAGAGACATAAACATCCAGAGTTTTTTATAACCATCTAAATTCATGTTTTTATTTCAGATATGGTCTGTTAGAGCGATGTCGAGAATTGGTAGAAGCAGGATATGATGTAAGGCAGCCAGACAAAGAAAATGTGACCCTTCTTCATTGGGCAGCAATCAATAATAAGTTGGATCTTGTAAAGTAAGTTGTCAATAGATGGATTTATCAGACTTTATGAGCAAAAGAAGGCTTGACTAGTATAGAAACAGAGGCAAAGAAGTACAGTAATGGTGTACATTGCAGTCAATGTAACAGCGGGGCGAGTGGCAGCAGGTAGTTGGGCAGAGATGGGTGGGCAGAATTGAAATGGAGGCAGAGAAGTCAGTCCCTTATCTCATTGAAGATTGTAGCTGGGAGAACCCAAGCTGGATGGGTCCTTGGGTAACAACTGGTAGGATGGTGGTACCTCAGTACTTGTCATTAATTGGTTATGGGAGGTGCGATGAGTACTAAAAATGACAAGTACCAAACAAACCACATGACTTACATGACCCTTTGTTTAGGCTGGGAAGAACTTTCTATGTCAGGGTTCCAAGTAACACCCTCAATGAAAGAAGACTCCAAAGCTTGGAAGTTCCTCAAAGTTCCATTTTATTAGAGATATCATATTGGCATATCTGGGAAAACCCGAATCTGAAAGCTTCCAGGTTTTCCCTATCCAAAAGAAAGTTCAAGTCCCTGCCCAGCACCCACATATCCATCACATGTTCCAATCAAAGCATTGTCCTAACTGAGGATGCCTCCCCGTTACACCCCTCCAGGTGCAGGGCAAGATGTCTTTAACTCTCTGAGAAAGGAATGTTGTTATGACTATATATCACCTCTGCTCCATACAATCCCCCCTCCCAGTTTACCACAGGAAGAAATATGGCAGGCCTGAAGGCCCAATGGAAAAGATGGCTTCCAAGCCTGACATTCTGTCTGTCCCTTTTCCTATGTCGGCCACTTCCCAACATGGCTGATTTCCAGTCCATTCTGCATGGCCATCCTCTTCTTCCAGTGCAATGCGTCAAGTATCAAACAAACAATGAGTACTGGGACAACATTTCCACATCAAAATGAGTTGAGAACCAAATTCGATGAGTTTTGAAGCAGTTGAGTGCCAACTATATTATCTATTAAGACTACCGTTTTAATAGATTTGTCAAAATTATTTTGTGATTTTCTAATATTTCTCTATGATATGCATACATATTTAATAATAAAGGGATTTTGATTACACAGCTGACAAAACTCTGTTATAGAAAAGTATACTATACTATCAAATATTAAACCATTTCATTTCTAAAAATATTGTGCATAAAAACGTCAGAGAAAAATCCACTTTCAGAAGAAACATTCAATCAAACTTAGTATACAGGTAATCCTCATTTAGTGACCACAGTTGGGACTGACAACTCCATAGTCACTAAAGACAAAATCATGTGAGTGCAACTTATGATTTTAAGATTTAATTGAATCTGGAATTTAATTTCCAGATTCTCCATTAACTCTGCTTGTTGCAAGCCAGTTGGGAAGCATGCAAATGGCAATCCTGTGACTGCAGAACAGTGCGATGGTTGTAAACGCAAGGATTGGTTGCATTGTCATAACTTCATACAGTTACTAAACAAAATAGACAGTAGGCGAGGATTATCTGTATATGTCTTATGTAAAAGGCTTTCCTTAAATGTTAACAGTGCAGTTTCTCTCCATTTCTCTGTTTATATACACTAAATTCATCATGTATTTGTAAAACAACTTTCTTTTGTTATCACACAGGTATTTTATCTCCAAAGGTGCAGTAGTAGATCAACTAGGAGGAGATTTAAATTCAACTCCACTTCATTGGGCAATTAGGTATGAAGCAAATCTTTATTTTGATTATTTAAATAATTACAGTCAACTGAATGCTATTGTGATAACATTAGGGCAAACTGAAGTTTTGATTATGTGAGAGTGACTTTAAACTTGCATCTTTCATCTCAGCGTCAAAAATTTGCTTAAATGGGATTTTAGGTCAACCTAGAGTTTTGTACTTTAACATAAAAAAAACGGGGCTGGGAAATAAAAGGCACTCAGTTGTTAAGAAGACTGTCAGAAGAAGAAATGAACATCAGGAAAACCTAGTCAATGCTCTGAGAAGTTTCATGCTGCTATCTTGCAAGCCAAACATTTTCCCATGTTCCTGTCTTTCATACCAACTACAGATGGTCTTTGCTTAATGACCCTAATTGGGACCAGAATTTCTATCGTTAAGCAAAGCAGTTGTTAGGCAAAACATCAACCGCTTAGCAACAGCAGTTCCAGTAGATCCAGTTGCAGTTGTGAGATAGGACTGTTCTGTTGTTAGACCAGTCGTTAGGCTTCGCTTGCCCTTGCCCTTACCTGCCAATCCTCACCACCCGCAAGTAACCTTTGCCCTCTTCCTCCCGCTATTGCTGGAGGAAGACTGCGTCAAGAACAAGTAGGGAGTCTGAGGATACGTTCTGTTGATGCTGGACTTGACTGCATTCTTCATTGAATCCTGCAAGGCAGGTTTCCAGGACAACTTTTAATATGCGCTTCAGAGCATGCACCAGACACATGCCTGGAAAATCTGTGAGGGGTCCTTGGTGCTCTCTGAGTTTGCTTGTTTTCTTGCAGATGTTTCATTACATAAAATCACTGTAACGCAAGATCATCAGCGCTAGCAAACTAACAACCAAGCTCAGGGAGCACCAAGGATCCTTCACCCTGAATGTCTGTTTAAAGAAAATGATTTTTACCAATTTGTGGAAATTTAATATGGAAGGCACTTGTAAGGCAAGGCATTCCAGAGCATAGGGTCCAATATGCTTTTGGCCCATGCTTCTTTTTGTTTACAGAGGGATGTTAAAGAGATCAGGAATATTTAGCAAGCAGGGCACTTCCTCTTAAAGAATGGGTTTTTACTCTTAACAAACTTGGTTTTTTTCATGTATGCATGTGTGCTATCCAAATACAGATTCTAACGTATCAATTTGAGTACAGTAGTCCAATCAGGAAAATCTTCCCTACTGGAACTGGATTGGGAAGAGAAGTGATATGGTGGGAATGGAATAGAGCCAAGCCAAGCCATTAGAAAACTGAGAACAAAACCCACTCCCTACTAGCACTGATGATGTTACCTAGTTAGGTTAATGAAACTTCTGCAAGCAAACAAGCAGGCTCAGAAAGCACCAAGGACCCCTCATTTCAACCCTGAGCTACAAATATTCGCCTTTATTGGAAAAATCTGTTTGTGGAGTTCAGCGTGCTGGAAGCTGGTGGCCCTTTGCAAGACTTTGCAGGAGGAAAACTGGATCAAGAGCAAGCACAGGGCCTCTGTGCTAAGGCTCACCTTAGTTCTTGCTGAAACCTGGCCTCATCATTCCACTTTGTCCAATTCTGCCACCCCACCACCACTTGCTGCCTCCTCCGCAGCTGGATGCATCACCTGTGCTCGCTGCATGCTGCACCCTTGCTCAGCTCCTGGATCATGGGCCAGTAGCAGGAATAATAAGACAATGGGTTGGAGGTGGCAGGGGGCAGCAGGTTCTGTGGCGGAGTGGAGGGCAGCCAGAAGGGCAGAGATGGGGCTGATAGATGCATGGGTGGATTTGAAGTTTGTGTGGATAGGCTTGCCAAGTGCCCAAATTTTAATCACAGGAATGCGGGGTACTGCAAAGGCTGGAACTTTTAAGACCGGTCATAACTACCAATTCACTACTGTTGTAAGATCAAATGGTTGCTGAACAAATGATTTTTAAGTGAGGACTACCAGTATTCAGTTAAATTGATTTCTCAGTATAATTTACTGTGCAAATAGTCCTTGGCTTACAACAGTTCATTTAGTGACCTTTCGAAGTTACAATGGCACTGAAAAAAGTGACTTATGACCGTTTTTTACACTTACGACTGTTGCAGCATCTCAAGGTTATGTGATCAAAATTCAGATGCTTGGCACTGACTCATATTTAGGATGGGAGTGGGTTAATGCAAAGAATGTAGGGGAAGTTGTGAGGTCCTGTGTGTTCCACTATTTGTCACTTAAGACTCCATCCAGCTTTGTCTCAACCAGATATGATCCACCTTCATCTGGATCTTACTCAGAATGGCTGGAATGAATTTCTAATGAACAACAGAACAACATTTTTTGTTTCACACACCCTCCTATTTTTATATAAAGCTGGGATTTGACTTGGCTATTACTAGTTTTAGGCTGACACTTAAAAAACAATCACAAATTTAGAGCTGAAACAATTTCTTATGTGTTTGTTTCATAACATTACTTTCCTTTCTTAATTTTTAAAAAAGAAATTATTTTCACTCTATATTTAATTGTTGTAAAGTAGTTCAAACATACTTGAACTACTTGCCATTGTTCCATTATTAAGATATATTTGCTTTTGTTAACTTTCATTCTCACTCTGAAATGTAAATGTAAATTCTAAAATTTAAAGCCCCCTTGTGGACATGTATTAGTGTATCTTTTCATTAAAAATAATATTATAATATCGTTGTGTCTTTATAAGAAAATGTTTTAAAATTAAAAGCACTCTCTCTTTCTAGGCAAGGGCATTTATCTGTGGTCATATTGTTGTTAAAATGTGGAGCAGATCCAACTCTTATTGATGGAGAAGGATACAGCAGCCTGCATTTAGCTGTTCTTTTTCAACACATGCCTATCATAGCTTACCTCATATCAAAGGGTCAGGTATGTGACTTTATGCAATGATGTAATTAATCATGTAGCAGGCATTAATACTTATGTGCTAATACTTCGACTTCCATGAACATTACATTTTACAACTGCACAGGTACAAATATTTCTTGCATATTTAGTTACTTAGGAATTTCTACTCCAAATGGCTGTTATTGGCATACTCCCAAAATAAGAATGAAAAGAAACAGAACAAACACAATAGAGCCGTGATGGCGAACCTATGGCACGCGTGCCACCTGTGGCACGCGGAGCCATATTAGTGGGCACGCCAGCTCAGCTCTGGGGCGCATGCGCGCGCTGGCCAGCTGATTTTTGAGCCTTCTGGGCCCACCAGAAGTAGGGAAACAGGCTGTTTCCTGCCTCTGGAGGGCCTGGGGGGGTGGGAAAGGCCCATTTTTCTTTCTTACCTGGTTCCAGATCCTCTCTGTGTATGTGGGAAGGGCGAAAACAGCTTTTCCCACTCTCTTGGAGGCCCTACGGTGGCTGAAAAGGCCCATTTCCCCACTCCCGGTGGGACAGGAAGTGACGTTTTTTCCTGTCCCCAGCCTCCAGAGACTTCTAGAGAGGCTCCTACAGACTCCTAGAGAGGTTCTGGAGGCTGGGGACAGCAAAAAAAGTCACTTCCTGTCCCACCGGGAGTGGGGAAATGGGCCCTTTTAGCCTCCGTAGGGCCTCCAAGGGAGTTGGAAAGGCTGTTTTCACCCTTCCCACATACACAGAGAGGATCTGGAACCAGGTAAGAAAGAAAAACGGGCCTACCAGGCCATCATGTGCCAGGAGCGGGGGGGAGGGGGAGGGGGTTGCGCATTCATGCGAGTGGGCACGTGCGCGCGCAACCCTCCCCCGCCCCCCCCCTCTCCTGGCACGCAATGGCAAAAAGGTTAGCCATCACTGCAATAGAGTGTCAGCAGTACAGGTAGTCCTTGACTTCCATCCATTTGAACCTAACATTTCCTTTGCTAAGCAAAGACAATTGAGCTTTGCTCCATTTTATGACCTTTCTTGCCACAGTTGTTAAGTGTTAAGTGAATCAGTGCAGATTTTTAAATCAGCAACATGGTTGTTAAGCGAATCTGACTTCCCCATTGACTTTGCTTGTCAGATGTTTGTAAAATCACGTGATGGGATACTACCATACTCATAAATACATTATAGTTGCTAAGCACTTTAAATTTTGATCATGTGACATGGGGATGCTACAGCTGTTATTAACTATGAAAAACTCACTTTTTAGTGTCATCGTAACTTCAAACGGTCACTAAACAAATGGTTGTAAGTTGAAGACTACTTTTAATGGCACCTTTGAGCAAGAGCAGATCCTAGTATTTCTAATACCTTTAGAACCAGGTGTTCACTTCTATTCAGAGATGCATTAGAAAGGTGGTGATCTGAATATTCAGGGAGAAGCTATTCCACAAGAGGAATGCTAGCATTAAGAGATCTCTCTGTGATCTTACTGAACTCCTTAGGGCAGCAGTCCCCAATCTTTTTGGCACCAGGGACCCGGTCCCACCGCTCACCTCCAGCTGTGCATCCCGGTTCCTAATAGGCACAGAATACGGGTCCTTGGCCCAGGGGTTTGGGACCCCTGCCTTAGGGGACAGGCTCCTCAGGAGAATCTCTGTCAAGGATCTTATAGACAGATTCATATTGCGATATTGGGATGTCAGCCAATATTGTAATACTGAAAAATACTTTTAAAAGTTGATTGTTTAAAATGCTGCAAAGTTCTATGTTATGGTCGTAGAGGCCTATGGACCATTATTAAAATAAACTGGAAGGCACCTGGGCCATATGAAAGTACTACTAAATTATGGATTTGTCATGAAACCCAGAACATTAATTGAATTCATTGCATTTGCATCCGTTTATGGCTTCAGTTGCTGGTTGCTGGTTTATTCCATTTCCTGAAATGTTAATATTTTCTCATATTTAGAGTGTAGATATTACTGACCACAATGGATATACCCCTCTTATGCTGTCAGCCCACAAAGTAATTGGGTGAGTAATGATTGCGATGCTCGATTCAGTGAGAATTTCTAAAGGATATGCAGAAAATTGCTTTTCTTTCATGAAAGCAAAACAAGTTACATTGTTTGTTACCAAAACAGTTTCCTAAGCTGTAAAATCCCTGAAATAAAACTTTTATAAAATACATAACAGAGCTACAACAATATGACATTGAGGAAAGAATTTATCTTTATTCTATGCTAACTTCTGTATTGCAAAGGAAATCATTTTGATAGGTTAATTCAAATAATTCTTCTTTTTTTCTTATTTAGTTTTCATATTTTTTGGATAAAATTTAGAGTTTTGGAAACATCTTTGTAAGATAAAGTATACAGTGTAGAAAAATTTCCCCTACCGCATCTTAGAATATTACGATATTGGACTACTTTGTTGAACTATTTGCTAAGGACTCTAGTTATTTCATATACGCTTTGTTTCCATCCAAATACTTTTGTTACCTCATACCACAATCAGCCTTTAACTCCACATTCACCCAACACAATCCATAATTCAAGCCTTTTTACATCATCATACCATTCTCCATAGTCTATAAATGTAAACTGTACTAACTTTCTTATATTCATATATTCTCAATAACCAGCTGCAGAGCAAAATCTGGCCTGCTTTCTCCCTGGCAGGATTTCATTTTCCAGGTTGTATTCATTATCACCTCTTGTACCTTTGCAATCAGAATTCTGCCAAATATCTTCCCTGGTACACTTAACTAAGCCCTGTAAGTAACTGTGCATTTATTCTTGCTTTTTTCCCTTTTCTTTTTTATAATGAACAATAACAACATTTTTTCAGTCATTAGAGACAGATACAATTTTAATATGCATGTTAAACAAGTTGTAAATTAGTCCACAAACAAACCACACCTATATTTTAACATTTCTTCAATTGCTCTGTTTACATCTGTAGTCTTAACATTATTCAGCATTCTCACAACATTTATTGTTTCATTTCCTTCATGGGTTTTGTTCTGTTTTTTGGATGTTAGCATTTATGGTATTTATTTCAGTTCTGCTCTTCGATACGTTGCTGTTATTGCTGTATGGATTTCAAATGTTTCTCCTCGTTTCAATTTCATTCCAAATAATTTTAGCCCTTTTATTTTTAATTCCATTCATTCTACTGAAGGACTTGTTTAACTCTTTTCACCCACTTATAACACATTTTTTTTTAATTTTCATCAACATTGCTCTGCATTTTCCATGCCTCTTTAAATCTTACCCATTCCTTGTTCTCTTTCACCACATTCTTTTAACTTTCTTTTCCTCCTTATACAAATTCTTCATCTCCTCATTTTGCAACATTCTTTAATATGCATTTTCTCATTCATATCCTGATACATTTTATAGTTCTTGCAACATATAAATATGCAATTATTACTCTTGAATTTTGTCTTAAGTATCAATATGGCAGGTTTGCTATTACAATATGGAAATAAATTATCCAAATGTTATCTTATTAAAAGTTGTATATCTTTGCTGTTCTAACTTGTACATTTTTATTTACATGAAGGCGGGAACCTACTCAGTTTCTAGTAAAGTTTAATCCATCTGTCAATGCTGTGGACAATATAGAAAAGAACACTGCTTTGCATTGGGCTATTATAGCAGGAAATGTTAATGCTGTAGATGTACTGCTAGAAGCTGGATCCAGTCTGGATATCAAAAATGTCAAGGTATTATTCCATTTTCATTATTAAAAGATCCTTCTGGGTATCAGAATTTTAGGTAATATCAAAAGGGTTATTGTTGGGAGGGAAATAGGAGGAAGGAGTATTATGGGTATTATGTTCACAACCTTAGTTTTCATTGCAAAGTCTACAGCAGTGTCCCCCAACCTTTTGGGTACCAGGGACAGTTCTGTGGAGAGAGATTTTTCCGGGACATGAGGCCGCATGATTTCATGCGCTGCCTGCATCCTGCAGATGGAGCTTCACTTGTTTCCACACCTCAGGGGGTTGGGGATCCCTGGTCTACAGAGTAGTCTGGCTGCCAGCAGTTAATAGTACTTTTAGTTCATGCTAAAATTCCATTTTTAAATTGTTTAATTAAATCAGGATAGTTTTAAGACCTTCAGAATAAATATGCTTTAAAAATATAGTTTGTATTGCTATTAATCTTTAATTACTAGAATATACAATCTAATTTTAATTTGGGAAGCTATGATTGTATGTAAAAGGTGATTATATTATAATAGCTCATCATTTTGTCATTTAAATATAAGCATTTTATTTATGAATCTTCTACCTACTGCAGATTTTAAACATTGCTGTAGGCTTCTGAATGTGAAATATATATGCAACATTATTGTGCTTTTTCAGGTTTCATAGTAATAAGGTAGGATTTTAAAATAAAGCAGCCCAAAGATATGTTTTGTATTTCATACTGTTTTTTAAAATAATGTTGTTTTTGCCTAAGGGACAAAGACCACTTGACCTTGCTCTTCAAACTAAAAACCGCATAATTATTCACATACTTCGTGAAGAAGAAAAAATTCAAATTAGAAGAACATCAGTGTTTTTGAGGTTTCTGGAAAAAAATGAGGTATCGTAAACTGAAACAAATAATGAAATGAAATTTTCTAGATTAGAATTGATGTTGAGTATATTATTGACCATAATAAGTTTTAACTAAAACCAAAAAAGATATTTCAGATAGAAATGGTAGCAATTCACAAAAAAATAGCTTTGGAATCTCTTGGTAGAGTCATCATTAAAGAATAAGTGGCAGAATATAAATGAGGAAAGCAAAGAATAAAGGCAGATGAGGAAAAGAGTTTGTGTGGAGTATAAGGAATTGATAGTCAATATATCCAAAACTGCTATGGAAAAGTTTCACTTAATTCAACAGTGAAAAAAGTAAGGTTCTACATTTATGCAAGAAAAACAAAATACACAGGTACAGTATATGTGGTACCTTGCTCAATAGTAGTAACTGTGAGAGGGATCTTGGAGTCCTAGTGGACAACCATTTAGATATGAGCCAGCACTGTACAGCAGCTGCCAAAAAACCCAACACAGTTCTGGGCTGCATAAACAGAGGGATAGAATCAAGATTACGTGAAGTGTTAATACCACTTTATAATGCCTTGGTAAGGCTGCAGTTGGAATACTGCATTCAGTTTTGGTCGCCACGATGTAAAAAAGATGTTGAGACTCTAGAAAGAGTGCAGAGAAAAGCAACAAAGATGATTAGGGGACTGGAGGCTAAAACATATGAAGAACGGTTGCAGGAACTGGGTATGTCTAGTTTAATGAAAAGAAGGACTAGGGGAGACATGATAGCAGTGTTCCAATATCTCAGGGGCTGCCACAAACAAGAGGGAGTGAAGCTATTCTCCAAAGCACTTGAGGGCAGGATAAAAAGCAATGGGTAGAAACTAATCAAGGAGAGAAGCAACTTAGAACTAAGGAGAAATTTCCTGACAGAACAATTTATCAGTGGAACAACTTGCATGCAGAAGTTGTGAATGCTCCAACTGGAAAAATTTCCACTGGAAATTTTTAAGATGTTGGATAACCATTGGTCTGAAGTGGTATAGGGTTTCCTGCCTAAGCAAAGGGTTGGAGTAAAAGACCTCCAAGGTCCCTTCCAACTCTGTTATTCTATTCTAAATCCCTTGAAGCAGCAACTCCACTCATTCCCTTTTGGTAGTAACAACGAAAAAATAAGAAATACATCCTTAACTCTATTTATTTTGCTGCAAAACCAGCCTGCTCTGTTTCTATTTCATTTGACATTATACATACTACTACTCAGCTGGTGCTTTTGCCTGACCCTTTTTCATTCCAGATTTTTTAAAAAAATATGTACTTATGTTTAAAATAGATAGGGAGATGTGTTTTAAGGTATTTAGGAACTAGATCAAGGAAATAACAAAATAATTTAACAAGCTTTGTTACATACATTCATTAAATATTTGCAGGTCTTAAGAAATTGTTTACATTATATTTTGCATGTTTTTAAAACTTTAATAATAATTATCTTATTCTGTTTTTGTCAGTGCCGAAGGTGTTCAAGTAGTGCTCCAGATGCAATCCCAAAACATCTGGAGCAGGGGTGTCAAATTCATGGCCCGTGGGCTGGATGCATCATGTGCTGGCCACGCCTACCCCCGGTTTAGCAAAAGGGGGGAAAGTTGTGATAAGTCATGTGACAACAACATGACACCTTGAGTTTGATACCCCTGATCTGGAGCAACACTTGAATATCACTGACTTTGACAAAATCACTATCAGTCAATTGCAAAGACAACTTTATTTAGAACAGCTTACATCCTGTGCCAATACCATCAAACATGTGCTTATTCCATCTCCTAAGGAAGGAGTCAATAGGTGCAGCCAAATCCAGTCTAAACATCTAGCTGACTGCGTGACTAACAATAATAGTAATAATATGGAAAGAGGACAGCAGTTAATTCTGCGACAGAGCAGAAGTGACATATCACATTTAGCAGAAATTAGTTTTCAGATTTATATAAGAGGCTTCTATGTAAGTCTGAGAGATCTGAGGGTTTTTCCCCTCTTCCACACACTTTATTTTTGCTCAATTTTTCTCATTTTCTAATGAAGTTTTTTTTTTCATTTTGCTTTATTTAGTTCTTGCTAATGTTTGGCTCATCATTGCTATTGATATGGACAGTAGGATATGTAGCAACCTTAAATTCTGACTCATGGCTGTTGAAAGGAACCTTGCTGATGTTCATGTTGATTACTCTGTCTTTCTTTGGAAGGTAAGCATATCTAGTTTTCTTAAATTTATTTATGTAGCATGTAGTATATTCTTTTCTTGGTTCCTGGAGATGAAATCAAAAGGGAAGGATAGAATTAATTCTACTTTTAGCTCGAAGACTGAGCTTAACATTTTTATCCTGTCCCATGGAGGAAACATCTTCCCTTCAGTCTTGTATACATTCTTCTTGGGGAAGCAGTAGTTTTCCTTTAGTTTCTTCCACACAAAAGCATCTCCTTGGCAGCCATATACCAGCTAATCAACATGCCAGCAGGAAACCACCTTCAGGAGAGCCACAAGCTAAATTAGGAGAATGACCCAGGAAATGGAGGAGGACTGACTGAAAAACCTGATGGGACAGAACATGGACAAGGCAAGTGCCAATGTCATGTTTAAGCCTTTATGCAACAGAGAACTGAAAACCTGTCAAAATTCCACCTCTCCCCCCCCTCACTTGTCAGAGTGGGCACCTTAGGGTCTCAACTATGTAGAACTTCCAGAAGCTCTAGACAAAATAGACAAGAAGACAAGCAAGGAGAGAGAATGGCCAGCTGAAAAAGCACAAACCTAATAGTTAGTTTCCCCTAAACAGGAAAGCAGACAAGATGTATTTCCCTGCATTTACTGGATGGTTGGAGAATGCATTGCCTTCTCACAGCTAGCAAAATGCTGCTGTCTCCCTATGTGACAACACCTTCTCCAAGGAGGAGGGGTGACTGACAGCACCCTTAACAATGAAAATATACTATTAATAGAAATTTGTTGGGCAAATTCTTCTATAATATGTTATAAAATATTTGATTTTGCAAATGAAGATTTTGCACTACATTTTGTCACTAAAAGTGCTATAACCTTTTACACTGACCCCACTCTGTTCAGTGGGTATGGATGTCCATGAGGGAAATTGTAGCTAAACGGCATAGTGTTGCCACATAATCTTCATTTATTTATCAATTTTGTATGTGCTGTAATCACAAAAAAGATTCAGCATAGTGACTGAAACTTATATTTGCAATTTACCTCGTTGGCATCATGCACAGTATGAGCAACAATATTTTAATGTCCTTACAATTTCTGCCAGATGCTTGTGGCTTATAAATCTGTTTCCTGTCTGTTTCATCTCTGGTAACCAAGAACAATAGCTAGACTTAAAATAATACACTTTCTGGTCAACAGAAGATGCTTAGGAGGGAAAGAAGATTAAGATCGTAGCCTCAAGAGTCAACATGCAGGTTAATTCATTGTGCTGGTACATAATGTTTTTCCATTTTCAAACAGACTTCCAATGCAACTTTTTGTTGTGACAATGGAATGTAAAATAAAGGAGAAGTTAAAACACAACCAGCTAAAGTCAATACATGAGGGCAAGTTTCCTCTATGAGGACAGGAAGCTGCTTTTCAGTTAAAAGGGGAAATTTAACCTTTTCCAGCTCTTGCTTCCTTTTCCATCAAGTCTATGTTCTGGTGATTAGAAAAGTAAATCACAATAGGTAAAAAAAAATACCATCCTTTTATAACCAATGTTCAAGGTTCCAACGAAAATGCTTAGAATAGAATTTTTTATTGGCCAAGTATGATTAGGCACACAAGGAATTTGTCTTGGTGCATATGCTCTCAATGTACATAAAAGAAAAGATATGTTCATCAGGAATCATAAGGTATAACACTTAATGATAGTCATAGGATACAAATAAGCAATCAGGAAACAATATTAATATAAATCGTAAGGATACAAGCAACAAAGTTACAGTGATACAGTCATAAGTGGAAGGAGATGGGCGATAGGAACGATGAGAAGATTAATAGTAGTGCAGACTTAGTAAATAGTTTGACAGTGTTGAGGGAATTATTTGTTTAGCAGAGTGATGGCGTTCGGGAAAAAACTGTTCTTGTCTCTAGTTGCTTAGTTAAAACATTCTGTCCTGAGTCATCTTAGCAGCAGTTTAGCTTCCAAGATATTGTCCAAGATCCTTTTCATACATTGTGTTTTCTAAACAGAAATCACTTCCAAATGTATGAAATACCTATTTTAGATGTTATAATTATGAAACTATTTATTTCATATTGGGTAAATATATTACGATAGTGACCAGATATGTCTTTCTAGTGTGCATGCACCCATTGTAGTTCCAGAAAATCCTGCATGCAAATAAATCTGGGTTTATGTATTCTCTCTCCTTTGTGTTCTAACTCTCATTTTGTCACAAACCAAGAAGGTTTTTGAAGTTATGTGAACATAGGTATTTTTTTTCTAAATTCTTACATGCAATATTGTAGCTATTACAGAAATATGTTTGGATAAAGAAACTTAATTCATCAGAGAAGTTCATGTACTGAACATTCGTAAACATTACTTGGCATGTTTATGTCTAATAGTGGGTAAATTTAGACAGCAACTCTTTCTCAGCTTAACCTACTTCACAGGGTTTTTCTTATGCTCTAAAATTAGGCGATATCCTATATATGCCAAAGATAAATGGGTATAAATGTACTAAATAAACTAAATACTTTTAAATGTTCCATTTAGGTTGTTCATAGGATTCAACACAATAAAATATTTCCCAGTAACGTTTTTGATTAGTTCCATCTTTTGGATATCATGGACCTGTTTCATCTATTTCCTGCCTAATATCCTTTGTTAAAACAATAGTACAGAATGGGGAATTTCTTTACATGTATGTATGTGTGTCTTGATTTTTATAAGGCAATTCACTGGAAATAAATTGTAATATTATATTGTAAGCTCCCATGAAACATTTAAGGTATTTGCTAAGAAAAAATGAGTTACTGCTAAAAAAAAGTTATTATTATTATTGATGGCCAATGATCTGTATAAACTAAAAAGAAGTAGACTTTTTAAAATGGTGTGCCTGTTCTGCTTTCCTAGCTGGCTGTTAGTGGTGTCTTGATTATTCTTTTCCCATTCTGCCTCTGCCACCTTTTCCATCAATATTATCCTCCACGACATGTCATATCCCCATCCTAAACTTTTCCCTTTGCCACTGTACAGCTTTTGCAGCATTTCCTTCCTCCTCCTCCTCTTCCTCATCACCCAGTAATTGCTAAACTGGCTACTGAGAAACTACAGCTTTAAAAGTACTTCTCTAATAAGAAATCACTAGACAGAAAAGTGCATTGAATTTTAAAATGGAGTGTGGAAGGTGTTTTACTGGTTGGTAAAGCATTTTACTAGCATGGAGGCGGTTTGGAGGCCATTGAAAGTTTCCTTCTAGGATCTGAGTCTATATTTTAGCCCCAGAATTAACATGGCTGTGTGATTTATTCAGTACTGTAAAATTGTAAAGAAAGGTAAAACGCTTATTTGTATTGATTATTTTTCTAGATTACTACCAACAAATCTAGAAAATACATCTACCTTTTTGACAGTATCCTTTTCTACTGACGAGAGGGAAAAGCCATGGCCAATACATGGTTAAAAAATGTACATTACAAAATGTAGATGAATATCAGTAGCAAAGAGATTAACCAAAAAACTGGTACTTGAACCACAGATCACTGTGCTATGTTATCTGCATAAATTTAAAAAAAAATAGCCTTTAGCAGACAGCAAATAACATTACAGTACTTCTCAACTTTAAGACGCATTTCCCTGAAGTTGCTGGATAGCATAATCAGGCTTCTTTTCAAGGTGAGATTTCTGTGTGGCCTCAGAACAAGATGTTCTCATTGTCTTCAAATTTGGTGCAGAGTTGTGTTTTGTAAGTTAAACTCTTTGTGTATTGTTTATTTACTCAATTTTTATACAATATTCACTGGTGTACAACATAACATGAGCATATTAAAATATGTAGTATGAAACAATACTAAGATTAAAACAATTTATATTTTCAATTTAAATTAGTAAAATAGAACAATATGAACAATATGAAATTCTGTACCTTCTGTACTGTACAGTTTTTGGCCCTTTATCCAATTCAGTTTTTTAAAATCACATTTAATAATAAAAATAGAATAGAATAAAAATAATTATTGTTTTAAAGTGGATTTAATCTATTCTGTTAAACAGTATTTTATTATTAATCACCGAAGATAATTTTTCTTTTAGCATGCTTTTTAATGAGATAATAGTTTTTTTTTATGAATTAATTCATGAGAAATATTTGGGCATATTCCAACTGCCAAAGGCACATAAATCTACTTAGCTCATGAGAAAGATATCTGGTAATTTTTCAGTCACGGCTTCTGCTTTATGACTTTTAAACATCCTTTTACAAAATTACATTTATTATATTGTTTGATATCCACCCAGCTGACTAAGCTATCAATCATAGTAGGTTTTATGTATCTTCTGAAAAATCAATTGAATCATACTATATAAATAACTAAAGGGGTTCTAAGGAAATAGGTACCTTTTAGATAACACATTTTCTTCAGACATTTTTTAATATTACATATTAAATAATGTAAGATTTGTTTTCCTGTGGCTGAACAATTATGTCTCAAACTAAGATATTCTAGTCATACATCAACTTTGGATTTGATAGATTCTCCCAAGGGCCCCTTCATTAAAGAGCCTGGAATTGGAATACTTGACACGCGCTTCATTTTCTTGTATAATCATATTTACCCCCTCTCTCCAAGGAAAACCAGGATTGCTTTTCCAAATTTCATAATTTGAGAGACTGTACAAAAATCTATCAAAACCAAAGGTCATTTGGCAGCTCTAAGACAATCTCATGATGGGTGACAAAACTTTTGTCTATTATCTATTGGTGCCTTATTGTACTATTCCTAATTTTTGAGATAGTTTATTTGCTTTGCTCATGCACACTACCCTGGCTGAGTCAGATTGCTGTTTTTTGATCAAATGAGTAACAAAATGTGCTTAATGTGGTTCTTGTAAATTTAAAAGGTTTTTAAAACACGCATTAGAATCTGTTTATTGCCTCTTCCTGCCATGGTGTTATTGCTATTTAACTTTGAAGTATAGCTTGGAGGGCTGTTTATGCACTCTGATATGTGAATTATGGAAACAGAGTCCTTAACTGGAGGCCACATTTTCCAGATATAACTTCACAGCTTCCTTTCTTTTTTGGCATGGTGGGCCTTATCTATTATTTTTACAAAACTGTCAGAACTGATCCTGGATTTATTACAAGTACAGAAGAAGAGATTAAAAAGGTATTTTCATACATTCAACAGTTCTTTTCAAGTACCGGTAATTACAATATAGCAATTGATATTGAAAAGCGATATTTCTCAGCAAATGTGAACATTTGCTATGTTTTTCTCAAAATTCATCAAGTGTTGCGAATGAGACACATTTGGAAAAGTGTTACAGGTAGTCCTCCAACACACAACCACAATTGAGCCCGAAATTTCTGTTGTTAAGTGAGATATTTGTTAAGTGGGTTTTGCCCCATTTTACGACCTTTCTTGCCTAAGTCAATCACTGCAATTGATAAATTAGTAACCCAGTTATTAAGTGGGAAAGGATTCCCCATTGACTTTGCTTATGAGAAGGACTGCACATGACTTCACATGACTTCAGGACACTGCAACCGTCATAAATATGAGTCAGTTGCAAAGTATCTGAATTTTGATCACATGATCATGGGGATGCTGCAAAGATTGTAACTGAAAAATGGTCATGAGTCACTTTTTTCAGTGCCATTGTAACTTTGAATGGTCACTAAATGAACTATTGTAAGTCAAGGACTACCTGTACTTTGGAAGCAGAGAAAAGTCAGTACTTCACACATAAAGGAACAAAGCCAAGCCACAGTATGGAGGGTCATTATAATGTGTTAGAGAATATCCAGTTTTCATGATTGCAGTGTACTACAGTGGAAACCTTAAAATATTCTTTGTTTTTGCTTATACAGGTAGTCCTCAGTTAACGACAATCATTGGTGCTGGAATTTCTATCACTACGCAACACAGTCATAAAACACAATATTACATGACCATTCTACTTAGCAGTGGAAATTCTGACTCTTCCAGTTGCCGTTGTTAAGTGAATCCCATTAAGCGTGACATCATATGATTGCCATTTGCAATCCCCTGCTAGCTTCCTCATTGACTTTGCTTGTCAGTGAAGATTGCAAATTGTGATTGTGTGACTGCTGGGTGGTGCAGTGTTGTAATTGTGAGCCAGTTGCTAAGTGCCTGGATAATGCAATGGCCAGAACTTCCAACATAAGTCATAAATACCACTTGTTCAGTGCCATTGTAAGTTCAGTGTCGTTAAGTGAGAACCACCTAGTTTGAGTTTCTGAAGTCATGTGTAGGCTTGTTTGACGGAATACGCTCAAGTGACAAAAATGATAAAATTGTGATAGAGTGACAAAATAGTAATAACATGTTTTTGTGACTGGAAAGATCTGAATCTTTACTGACACCAATCTTTCAAATGTTCCTGAATCTATGAATGTGAAAACAAAATTAGGGCAAGATAGTCATTGGGAACTAGGTTGAAATATACCTTGAATAGCTCAGGGTGAGGAAAACTTGTTACTTGTCCTCCAAGAAGTACAAAATTATACAAGTGTCAAATTTTGGACTTCAAGGCAGGCGGACACAATTTGTTTGCGTTTTTTAATAGTAATAATAATATCATTCCATTCAGTATAGGTATGAAGATAAAACACTTTCCTGAAGTGCAAATCCATCCATTCCTCCTCTACACAGAGAGTTTTCAAAAGGGAGCAATAGGAAAGGATTATTTTTTCCTTCTCTTCAGACACATCTTTTCCACATCCACCAAGATTGTTAATTTTATACTATATTTCCTGAACAAAAAACATGCCCACAAATTACTTGGTGGTTAGTTTGGGGGTGTCTGGTGTTTGTGCTATATGTATATCCTTAACATTCATAAATAATATAGGAATCGTGCATGCCTGGGACCTAGATTTTTAGAAATAAATTAAATAAGCATGTTAATGATTATTTACTTGCTGCATAGGAGAAATAGACTATTGGAATGTAAGAGTAAAGGAAAGTGATTTGTATTTGAGATTGGGTAACATAAATGTCACAATCACCCCTCTGCTGAAAAATATTGAAAACAGCCCAGTATTTCTAATAGTCCCCACATAGCCGGAGGGTAGGAAAGGATTTTTTTTTTTAAAAAAAAAGAATGATGTATATTTATTAAGATAATGTTATTTAATATAACTTTTCTGAGTCCTCTTCTGCCTTCCCAGTTACCTAAAGTGGAAAGTATCTTGCATTTACAGCTGTTTGTATATTTTCATATTAATCATTTAAAAAAACCCTATTTTCAGTTAGAATATTATTTATATGCTTGAAATGGACAACAGTCTCAATCCCGCTTTAACTGTCATCAACTTCCTGCAATTGTGTTACAGAAATGCATCAAGTCTGTTAAGAGTTCACAGGTCTTAAATTATGATACCCCGAAGCATTGAGATATAAACATATTTGCAAAACCTAATCTGTCTTTCAGAATATTATTAACCTTGGAGAATCTGGCTCTTTGGACTTCAGAACATTCTGCACATCATGTCTTGTAAGTTGAGCAGTGATGCCTTAAAATAATTTGATTTTTTTTAAAGGTTTTTTTTTAACGATAGTAGAGAGGCGTGTTTTTTCAAGTTACTTTTTTGCATTATCACACTTCAGTTTAAACATGAATATAGTGTACTATAATATCAAAACAGAATCTAAAATTTATCTGGTCTGGCACCCTATTAGGGAAGTTTACAGATTTGTTCTTTCTGAAGAGCCTAATTTCATGCTTAGAGGATGTGCATTTATAATTTGCTCAGGACTGACATCTAACTATTATCTGTATTTTATAATTAACTTTGGGAACTTTTGACTCTGCAGATAGGAGTAAAATTTTAAAAGGAACATGGGTAGCAATGGCTCATTACTACTGAAAAGATTTCTCCTTGTTAGGATTGGCTCACTTGAATTTATTCGTTTTAAAAAATCTACTGGTGGACGCATGATATGAAATTGCCCTTAGTAAGCATAGGAGGTTGCTAAGTCATGAACAATAAAACCAGTTTCACTAATGAAGACTTGAATGTAATACACTGTCCTTCCTGCTGTGGTTCTTTCAAGCAAATTGCATTGTGTTTTAGGACCAGTCTACCAGTGGTGAAATCCAAATTTTTTTACTACGAGTTGTGTGAGCGTGGCTTGGTGGGTGTGGTGTGGCTTGATGGGCATGGCTTGGTGGGTGTGGCAGGGGAAGGATACTGCAAAATCTCCATTCCCACCCTACTCTGGAATCAGCCAGAAGTGGTATTTGCCAGTTCTCTGAACTACTCAAAATTTCCGTTACCGGTTCTCTGAACTACTCAAAATTTCCGCTATCGGTTCTCCAGAACCTGTCAGAACCTGCTGGATTTCACCCCTGAGTCCTACCATATTTCAACGAGCATCAAGCGATGAAAGCAGGATCAATATCCAAAGAGCCCTTCAAGACACCTTAAATGCTGATAATAATGAGGAAGCATGTTCCATAATTCAAACATAGTCCTTCTTGCCTTCCTGTATGTTTATTTAGATTTAGCATATCATACCCTTATTGTTAGTCATTCTAATTCACAGCAGTCTATAAAATATATTCATCCATCAAACCACTTTTTCCCATTATGGAATGTCACTGTACTTAAAATTAAAAGTACAGCAACACTCCATAATGTCAATAAATGTTATGTCAACAAAACATTTCTGACCTTGGCTAAATGTAATCAGATGATTTCAGAGCTGTTGGAAGCAGCTTTCAGAATACATGATCTGAATGGAAAGCTGCCCCAACTACTGAGACATGAAATATACATATGGGTGGAGGCCTTTCTGGATCCAAACACATGATTAAAGATGGGATTGTGGCTCTCATTGTGGCCCTATTTTTCTAGGGTGAATTTCAATTTATGATAAAGGTCTAATATTTGAAATGCAGAAGAACATTTACTAATATATTCAGTGAGGTGTGCATAATCTTTTTTATGTGTGTATTTTCTTACTCAGATTAAGAAACCTCTGAGATCTATGCATTGCCATGCTTGCAATTCATGTGTGGCTAGATATGATCAACATTGTATTTGGATTGGACGATGCATAGGTGAGTTTATTCTCGCACAACCAGGATTCCTTTCTTAAGGGAGTCTATGCCAGGAATATTTCTGAAGTCTTAAAAGGGCGGCCATTAATTGATCACAAGGAAAAACTCTAGTGGTTGAGTGTTGTGTGAAGAGATGCTGACAAGTGCACAGCTTGGGGATGTACAACATTAGATAGTGTTAGCAGAGTTGGTATATGATTAAAGATTAAAAATAATTCTGATTACACTTACTGAAGACAGACTTCCTTTGGAGTGTCACGTTGGGGATTGCATTGCATGTTTTGGTTTTGTTATTTTTGTTATTTTTGTTGTAGTTTAGATGACCTTTGAAATATAGGTAGTCCTCAACTTACAACAAATCGCTTAGGGACCATTCAAAGTTGCAATGGCACTGGAAAACAATTACACGATCATTTTCCTCACAACTGTTGCAGCATCCCCATGATCATGTGATCAAAATTCAGACACGGGCAACTGATTTATATTTATGATGGTTGCAGTGCCCCCGGGGTCATGTGATCACCTTTTCTGACTTCTGACAAACAGAGTCAATAGGGAAGCCAGATTCACTTTACAATCATGTTACTAAGTTAAAAACTGCAGCAATTCACTTAATAACTGTGGCAAAGGTGGTCGTAAAATGGGGCAAAACTCACTTAACAAGTGTTTCACTTAGCAACAGAAATGTTGGGCTTAATTGTGGTCAGAAGTCGAGGACTACCTATATATCAATCCTATTTAACTCCCTATACCTAGCCATCCCCCATGTATATTTATTTTTTATTTATTTATTTATTTTCAATTTATATACCGCCCTTCTCCCTGAGGACTCAGGGCGGTGCACAGCCAGAATTAAAAACATGAAATACAAATATTAAAAACAATTAAAATCTATATAAATTTGGCCCAAAATTTAAAAAAACCACAAACCAATTAAACATTTAAAAATTTTAAAAAATTTCTTCCTAAGCCAGCCCGGCTTGCTGGAAAAAGTGGGTTTTAAGGGCACGGCGGAAGGCACTGAGGTCTTGGATTCTCCTTATCTCTGGGGGCAGCTGATTCCAGAGGGTAGGTGCCCCCACAGAGAAGGCTCTCCCCCTGGGGGTCACCAGCCTACATTATTTGGCTGATGGCACCCTGAGGAGGCCCTCTCTGTGGGAGCGCACGGGTCGCTGGGAGGTCGTCGGTAGCAGCAGGCGGTCTCGAAGATAGCTAGGCCCTATGCCATGGAGCGCTTTAAAGGTGATAACCAACACCTTGAAGCGCACCCGGAAGACCACCGGGAGCCAGTGCAGCTCGTGCAGGAGCGGTGTTACATGGGAGCGCCATGCTGCTTCCATCACTACCCGCGCTGCTGCGTTCTGGACCAGCTGGAGCCTCCGGGTGCCCCTCAAGGGGAGCCCCATGTAGAGAGCATTGCAGTAGTCAAGACGAGAGGTGACGAGGACATGAGTGACTGTGCACAGGGAATCCCGATCAAGAAAGGGCCTCAACTGGCGAGCATAGTATGTTGGGAGAGTAGATACTCAGAAATAATTATTCTTTGAATTTGATATTAACAAATCTTTAACCATTCTCTTTGATCCAGGTGTGGGTAACCACGGCTATTTCATCCTGTTTCTCTTTTTCTTGATCTTGCTGAATATTTGGGCCATATATGGAACTATGATATGTATGTATTTCTAACTGTTATTTCACTGTTTAGAGAGAAAATGTGATGTGTTGATCTCTAGTAAGTCTAATATGTAATTCGAGGACAATATTGTTCAGCATTCTAAAATGTTAAAAAACTAGCATCCTTCTGGAAAATATGAAGGGCTGGCAGCAACATATATATATTGTATGTATGCAATATACATTTGTTTTTTTACAAATAGCAGGTTTGGGCCCAAGTGTATACATATGATTATATATATATAAGACAAATTAATATATAACTACAACTTTTCATTAGGCTACATTGTGCATGTAGAACGTTATCTCTAGAGAACGTGGTTTGCATTTCAGAGAATTTTGCTACAAATAGTTATTTGATCCTATGAATGCTGCTCATATTGTTAGAGTAAGCTGATCTTCCTGGTAGCTAAATATATCAATACACATGTAGTACTTATGGATAGTATAAATAATCCATTTTGGGATTGTTTTATCGGTCAAAATAGGATGGAAACTTTATAAATAAAAACATAGTTCACCATGGTCTTTTTTTTTTTTTAAGAAATCCTTTATTTAAAGTTAAAATTACTTCTCTTAGATTGGTCAGAACGTTGTACAACAACATATCAGAAAGATGGAGCTTGGATGTCTTTCACACAGATCGTATCTTGTTCTCCTTGGGTGCTATATGTGTTCATGCTTGTAATTTTTCACACTTTATGGGCTGCATTATGGTTCATCCTTCAGATTTACCAGGTACACTTTTTATGTTTATTTCTTTAAAGTATTGCATTGAGTGTTATTCAATAGCCTATAATGTATCACTTTTAGTTAATATTTCAGAATTATCTATTTTGTGCATATTTAATCATGATGCCAATGAGTTGCTAACAATCGGGACTGCATCAGTAAATGAAGAGATCAGAGAATGTTTTCCGTTTGCTATTTAGGATTTTACTAGGGCTGTCTACTACAAAGTGTCCAATATTCTTTTTGGTCAACCATAGCCATGTCCATTATATTTCTTAATGTCTTTATTTTTATTTGTTTGTACATAAAACAAAATAGGCAGTAATATTCTTCCTTAATATATCAGTTTGGCATAGTTTATCTAAAGTGGGGAAACTATTTTGTAGTTTAAAATATTCTCTTGCAATGATTGCTTATTCCTAATAGCACCATTTCTAGATTTAGGATTTTCCTGCGATAGGTAAATGAATCTTTTATGGTTGGGCTGTCAGTTTAATTCTAACATGTGGCAAAGATTTGCTCTTGAGAAAAGCATGTCCTCATGAAGGAACTTCATCTATCCGTCTGTCTGTCTTGTCATCAAGCTTCCAAAAATGTGGTATGAAGAATTTATCCTGCCCTGTGGGGTGTTTAACTCTCAACTGAAAACTGCTCTGTTCGAGCAGCTATGTATACAGGTAGTCCTCGACTTACGATCACAATTGAGCCTAAAATTTCTGTCGCTAAGTGAAACATTTGTTAAGTGAATTTGCCCCATTTTACTACCTTTCTTGCCACACTTGTTAAGTGAATCACTGCAGTTGTTAAGTTAATAACACAGTTGTTAAATGAATCTGGCTTCCCCACTGACTTTGCTTGTCAGAAGGTCACAAAAGATGATCATATGATCCCGAGACACTTGCAACCATCATAAATATGAGTCAGTTGCCAAGACTTTGAATTTTGTTCACCTGACTATGGTGATGCTGCAGTGCTCAAAAGTGTGAAAAATGGTCATAAGTCACGTTTTTCAGTGCCGTTGTAACTTTGAACGGTCACTAAATGAACTGTTGTAACTCGAGGACTACCTGTAGTTTTTCTATGCTAGATCTTCTGTGACCTCTGGGTTTAGATGACCAGGAGCATTATGCTGCCTTCTTTATTTGTTCTGTGGCCAATAGAGCTGGTACTTTGGCTACCCAAGATATGCATCTTTGCTTTAATTTAATTAATTTAATTTCCAATTTATATACCGCCCTTCTCCCTGAGGACTCAGGGCGGTGTACAGCCAAGATAAAAAACATAGAATACAAATATTAAAACATTTAAAAATATATATAAATTTTGGCCCGAAAGTTAAAAAATCACAGACTAATTAAAAGAATTTAAAAATTTCTTCTTAAGCCAACCCGGCTTGCTGGAAAAGATGGGTTTTCAGGGAACGATGGAAGGCATTGAGGTCATGGATTCTCCTTATCTCTGGGGGCAACTGATTCCAGAGGGTGGGAGCCCCCACAGAGAAGGCCCTCCCCCTGGGGGTCACCAGCCTACATTGTTTGGCTGATGGCACCCTGAGGAGGCCCTCTCTGTGGGAGCGCACCGATCGATGGGAGGTCGTTGGTAGCAGCAGGCGGTCTCGCAGATAGCTAGGCCCTATGCCATGGAGCGCTTTTAGTCAAGAAGTATATATTGAGGAAAGTTTCTGTAGCTTTTATATGGGTCACAATGTAAAACAATTGTGCTGCTTTCTTTCTCTTCCCACCTTTCATATATACTATTATAGAACATAAAACAGTACAGAAAGAGCAGTACAGTATGAACTTTCCTTGACAGACTAGAATTCTACCCATGTTGGGTTTTTTGCTGCAGAATTTACATAGAACTAGGCCAGTATTTTTCAATTTTAGGAACATCAAGATACATCGACTTCAATTCCCAGAATTCCCAGCTGGCTGAGTGGAGAAACATTAAAGTAGACCTATGACACTTCTATTGTTATATAGTTGCTAAGAATTCAGCCAGTATTACTTTCTTCCTTTCAAAAACAAAAACAATAATAATGTCATTCTGCACAAAACTGATTGTTAAAGTCCGCTCTCAAAGTAATTTTATATGTAGGATATCTTTTTTCATGCTGCTTTATATTTACTCCATCAAGAACTAATAGATAAAAGTAGATTTTGATAACCAGTGTTTTTCCCCTAAAAAAACAAAGTTCAAAACAAAGCAAAACAAAACAAATGCATTAATTTTGCTTCCAAGTTATTAATGATTTAATGGAATAATTTGTCATTATTCCAAGGTTTATTCACGCACACTCACACACATCCATACATATAAACACATTTATTTATATATACATGTAAAGATATGTGCATGTGTCTGTGTGCCTATGTATACGTTTGTGTGTATGTGTAAATAAATATCAGGATATGAAAATACCCCAAAAGCCATTTCTGTCATCTTATTTTGGATTTTGAATTAGAGCCTAGCTTAGAGAAAGTTCTTGTCCCAATATAATTGCAGTGCATAATCACTAAAGGATAAATTGCATTACATAGTCTTTCAGATACAGACTTCAATTTATATTTTTGATTTCTGTTAACAGATTGATTTATTAGTGTCGTTCCTCTGTTTTCATTTATCAGTGCATTTTCAATTGAAAAAAAAACTGTTATTTTTGTTTGTTTAAAAAGGAGAACAATTATATCAAGTACTTTTGATGATTCATTTTGTCAATATATTATTCATGTATTAATTGGCATTCATTTAGTCTTTTCCTTTTTAATTCTTCCATTTTCAGATTGCATTTCTTGGATTGACTTCACATGAAAGGATTACACTCCGGAAGCAGAGTAAATATTCCAAACATCCTATTTCACTTAGGAAGACTCCATATAAGTAAGTCAATTTAGAAAGTATCACTATTCAATAACCATTTCTGCTTGAAGTAATCATAGTTGTTAAATTTGGCTTGCTTAAAAAAAATACAACTGCTTTAAAATATGCAACCACCACCACTAAACCTATCCCCACCCACCCACCCTGCAACAATAAAGAGCTGTTGTGTATCTTGTATATAAATAATAAAGTGCTCAGGGCAATTATTCGTAGATTGAGTTTAAGATGTTCTGTGTATGTAGAGGGAATGAGGCAACATCTCCATAGAATTACCAAATTATTCAGTAGTAAAAAAAGGATTGGGGTGCATATACTTCCTTCAAATGTAATTAATGCATGGAACTCTAGTTATTCTGTACATGGCAGTCATGTTCCTCTGTTTTCAGCCAAAATTCAAATTTAGTTAGTTTGGTTGGGAGAAAGAAGGTCAAGATAGCTACCGTATTTTTTGGAGTTTAAGATGCACCTTTTTCCCCCCTAAAAGGGAGTGAAAATTTGGGTGTGTCTTATACACTGAATGTATAAGACACCCCACCCACCCACCCACTGGCCCCCAGTCTTTGAACTCTGCCTCCCAGCAATTTACCTCCTTATAGCAAGCAGCAAGAAGAAACAGACCATTTCAGTTTCAGCACAGCCTAATTAGCACAAATTGATTGTCCGTTGCATCAGCCTCTTGGGCCTCTGCTGCTTGCTGCAAGGAGGTAAATTGCTGGGAGCAGTTTTTTTTTTTCTTGTGCTAATCAAGCTATGCTGAAAATGAAAATGTAAGTAAAGCAGGCTGTTGGCTGTTTGCTACAACGAGGCAAAATTGCTGGGAGGCAGAGGCAGATTTCTTTTTCTTGTTTTCCTCACCAAAAAAGGTAGGTGCGTCTTATAGTCTGGAGCGTCTTACACTCCGAAAAATACAGTACTACAGGTTCTCAGAGTATGGTATATCTTTAATGATGCAAGTAGTTGCTTTAGTTTGGCAAGATTTCTTTCTATAGGTAAAGAATAATAAAGGAAACTGCTTAGAAGTAACTCTGTAGTCTTTCTTGGTTTTTGGAGCCTGACAAGGAATGATACCTGTCTTTCACAATGATCTGTAACTTAAAAGCCATATATAAAGTGAAACACAGTTTGGTATTTTGAGGCAAACACTGTATCTGTCATATACTTAGTTTCTTATTGCTGAGCTTCACTTCTTGAATTCTGTGAGTTCAGTGTCAGAATAGAAAGGTATGTCTTTAAAAAAATGTTTTCAGTAGTTTGGAACTCAAAACCTATTTCTAATTTGTTTCATAATTTCACAAAACTGCTTACTAAAAAATGGTATTTTGTAAAATACTGTAAATAGGAAATTCCCTCTTTGTCATGGCATTCTGTTAGGAAATCACCAAGCCACAAGTGTTTTCTTAAATTCCAAGTGTGCCACTGATCCAAACAATGGGGAATGACTAGCATACATTGTACTTGTTTGAAAGCAATTCATTTGTAAATTTATCAATATTTCTTGGTTACTTCCATGATATTGAGTTACTGCCAGCATAAAATGCTTTATATATATATAATATGAAGGTTATTTTCAATCTGTGTGATTTTGCTTTCTTTTCTAGTCTTGGATTCTTCCAGAACATTGCAGACTTCTTTCAGTGTAGATGCTTTGGAATTCTCAAGCCCAACATAATTGATTGGACTAAGCAGTACACTTTAATGTTTAATTTGGTAAAAGATCGACACATCCATCCAGTGTGAAGGTGAAAATCTGCAGTTGACTGCCTGGAATTTACTAAATGTTTTCAAAAAAGATATTTAGAATATTGTAAAGTATATTACAAATTATTTGGTTATTTGCTAAGGGTCTGATTGCTATTTCAAAAAAAAAATATTTAAATTTACATGGTTAAACTGAAGCAAACTGGAAATGCAATGGTAACCATGGCTCATGTATAATACTTTCAAATACTTGGATTTGGAACAAATACAGTTGTGAAATGTTAAGCTTCCTCAGCTTGCAGAAAAGATTATTTTTAAATAAAGCAGGAAAATCTTATCTATGATTCATTTATCTCCATCCTTCAAAATTTACACTCAGTAAAGAAAATAAAGATAATTTGAAATATCAAAATATGTTATTATATGAAATCTAATTTATAATTCATAAGAAGTTATACTTCCCTGCTGATATATAACTATGTATTAGGACTATGCAGTGCTTAGATCAAACCCCCTAAAGTGATCTAGGAAAAAGACATAGCTGCTTAAAGTATTGCAGTCAGGTGCTATGTTGGCACTCTCATGGTCTTTGGAGCACCTTTTGGAAATTGTACTGGCCTAACCTACATAAAGGCTGTTTAGATTTTACATATTTATGATCACATTTCAGTTATAGCTTCAGTATATGCCTAGCTTTAAATATTTAAAGGAAAATGTAACAGTCACTGACACTGAACAACATATGCAGTAATGAGAAACTTTTTTTTTTCAATTGACCTAATGCATGTAAAAACAGATAAAAGAAGATTGACTATGAATCTTTCCGATAGGTGTTACTTTTGCACACTACATTTTACGGTATATTTGACCTGCAGTGCAAGTCTAGTGCATCCTTAAATTCATGCCAGAGTGGAACAGAATAAAAGTTACCTCAGATAAATGCAGATTACAACTGTATTTTTGATTGAGAGTGAAGTCTTTGAAATTATAATAAGAATACTGTGTAAAGTAATTTGAGAAATGATGAATGAAATATTTATCTTAGTGCTACCTTAAGTAAAATATGCTTAAAGATGGAATAACCAATCAGCTTTTCCCCTCAAAGTTTTGAGAGGATTAAAATTAAAAAATAATATAGAGATTACACTTGCAGGTAGACTTATTAAAGTATGTTATCATTCTGACAAATCATAACCAAATACCTATATTTCATGTTTGATCTTCACTTGAGTTTTGCTTAATTAGCACAATTAAGATTTTACACAAGTGTAAAAATAACAGTGTTAGGATTGTCTGTGCAATTATCTTGATAAAATAACCAGAATTTTGACTCAGAAATTATTTATGAAGAGTCCACATCTCAATGTTGTGGAGTTCTGTTGCTCAGGAATGAAATGCTATTTTTCAAAAATGATTTCCCACAACATGTTATAACAACTGTGTAAGGAATTAAATTTTCATTGTTACTTATTTAGGTAGGCCTAAATGAGATCTCAACATGGCATCTTATTCCACCTTCTCAACTTGAGTGAGGCCACCAAATCCAATTCCTTTAGGGCCAAAATTCTTTGCGTAGCAAACTGTAAAACAAAGAAAGGAATGATAGATGTAACTATTTTCTGTCAACACAAAACATTATCTAAACATTCATAAAACCCAACTTTTCTATAAAGTTTTGGGAACAGTACCATGTTGAAATGCGCTTAAATACATATAACCCAAATAACTCCATGTTGCTCCTTGCCTCCATTTAGCCATTTCTCTACTTGACTGGGAACTGGTTTAGCCTTTATTATTTATTATTATTTATATTAAAAGTGCAGCATTTTAAAGCAGGCATAAAAACCTAGTACAACATTTTAAGTGCAGACAGGGTCACCAAATCTGCTCTACAAAAATATAGATGACCATAGGAAGAAAGACGCATTGAGGAACTCTTATCTCTTTGCTTCCACCTGAATTTTTGTAGCTCTACTTAAAAAAAAACATTTCAACAAAGTGACATAGGTTTTAAAGCAAATGTTTATCACACAAGGAGCTTCATGGGATGACTACAACATGATCATTATGTCATTTTTTGCTAGCATGATTACTAGCATGAACAAAGGATGGTCGGCTGTGATACATCATACCACACTGTGATTTGCTTCACCGTTATTTCTTGATCAGACCAAATTTGGTTGGGTTCACACAACCAATCAAGCCACAAACAATGCACTGCCCTTTCTAAACTCAGAATGAGGATCAAGCTAATATTGGAGACATTACTTTGCTTAAGAACATGGAGAAAGATACAGTACTGAGATGGAAAAAAAGATCAAATGTTAATGAGGGAGAAATTGGATCTGTATCTGCTGTTTTTACTCATAGTTCATTCTTCAGGGCAGTAAAATGCTTTGAAAATTTGTAATTCAACTAGCATTTTTTTAAAAAAAAAATCTAGCAAAAAATGTGGAATTAAAAATCTACTGTATTTTTTGTTTTGTTTTGTTTTTGTCTTCAAGTCAGTGTTGACTAATCACTTTAGTTTTCTTGGCAAGAATTTGGAAGGGTTCTTGCCTCCTTCCTGGAGCTGAGAGTAGTGAATGCTCCAAGGTCACCCAATTGGCTTTGAGCCTAAGGCAGAGCTAGAACTCATGATCCCCCAGTTTCTAGCCTGATGTCTAATCACTTCACCAGACTGGCTCTTCATTGAATTTGGTATGAAAATGATGAATCTATCATTGATGTGTAGATGTATCCTTCACCACGATCTTTGAAAGTTTCATTGCATATTTTTTTGAAAATCTTTTGGGGTCTAAATCCAGCATGCATAGTCTAAGTCTGCATGCTAATAAGCTTCTCAGAAATTATATTTTACATATTACACTTGCCTTTGCAATAAATCTCTCCGTCTTTGTCTGTAACATTTGTAGATTCTAGACTTTTCCCACAAATAGCACATCGGAAGCAGGTCTTGTGCCAAGGCTGAAATCGAAGACAAAAAAAGAATTAACTCACATGAAGTATTTGCACAGCAAGGTTTATGTTTGGCCGTCTATTGATAAATTACGAGACAGATTATCTGACCTTAATTTACCTTTCACAAGCTAATCTGGACTTCAGACAATACATTTATGCTGACTAGACGTGAAAATCATAGTAATTATTGTTGCCTCAAGCAGATCAGAATTGGGCTATCAACTGCAAAATCAAGATGAAATGTCATTTTAAAGTGAAATAAAGAAGACAAATGTGTCTTTCTGCAGCATAATCCTTGGCATATCAACATATGGCTTCTCTTTAGTGTTGCATAGGCTTGGAATCTTAATCTTGTATCTACTGTACATGTGAGAATATGAAATAGTTAACACTTCATTAATTATTCTTGGTTTGTGATAGCTGTCAGCTGAAGTGTTTTAATAGTAACTCTATTGTGATAACATTTCATAGATTTCTTACCTTTCCCCCTCCTATTATCTTCTCTGCAGCATACACTGACTTGCCACAACGAGGACATTTTTCTACATCTCCAAACCTTGTGGCAAATTTTGAAGGGTTGGTAGGGGTAGAAGGACGACCTGGTTTTGGTGAACTGGTGACAAGAAAGTTTAGCATATATTAACTTTTTAATCTCAAAGATTAACTAAATTTAGGAATATCTGACCGGACAAATAATGTATCAAATAAGGGGAGAGAGAGAGAGAACATATTTATGCTTTTAATAGAGCCAACCAATTTCAGCAATGTAACACAAGAACTATACATTCTAAAGAATTTGTCAGGCTTGTTCTTTAAAACACAATTGCTGATTTCATGCTGACTATAGTTCATAGCAGAATGTTCAATTTGTTCATGCTCAGCATGAAGTAAAAGAGAATTTCCTTTGAGAAATCCTGATAAGTATGAAGAATAATAGAAATATAAAAGTAACTATTCTTAATGGCTAGAAAGTTGTGGGCACCAAAATCACAAAAAGTGTGGTATTTTGAAGAATAATAAATGCATTATGATACAGATTGTTGTAGGTTCTGTCAATGAACCATAGCTACAAATTTAACACAGATACAATGTAAAAGAATTAGAGACATAAAAGGCACCATTCAAAAGCAAAGATACCTGGTGAAATTTCAGAATAAAAGACATAAACTATGATAAGGATAGTGTCATAAAACCATGTAGTATTCTGGTTATTGCAGATTTCAAAAGAAATGAGGAATAAACCTTCAGATCTGCCACTTTAATAAATGTCCACAGCGTTGTCTATTTATTGTAATTCTACAATACACAGTATTGTTTAATCTGTATCAAGGCTACACAACAGGAGGAGCAATACATGGAAATTCTTTAAAAGCCTTTTCCAACCCCACCCACCCACCAAATAAATGTCCTAAATTCCTTTCCTGAGATAGCCTGCAATCTCCTTATCCTTTCTATTCTTCATTGCTTAGAGTCCTTGGTGTTCTCTAAATTGAGACCTATTCTCTGAGCTCAACCTTGAGCTACATATATTCTCTCCCATTGGTATCATTGCTTAGACTTTAAAAAAACACAATATAGAAATCTGAATATCCTTAGACAAATGTTTTTGGAGCAGATGATTTTAGATTAACCTGATTTGCTAAACAGAATCCAATGCAAGAAATTATTGCCAGAGGTTCCATATTTGGATTCTGTTGTCTCTATTCCATCCCCACCATGTCACTTCTCTCCCCAATCCAGTTCCAGTGGGGAAGGTTTTCCTAATTGGACTACTGTACTCCAATTGATACGTTCGAATCTCTATTTGGACAGCACACATGCATACATGAAAAGAACCAAGGTTGTTAAGAGTAAAGACCAATTCTTTAAGAGGAAGTGCCCTGCTTGCTAAGTATTCCTGATCCTTTTAATACCGTTCTGTAAATAAAAAGAAGCATGAAAAAGAAGTATTCTTTCAATATGATAGCACAATTGCCCAATAGAATATGTAATAGTTTTAAAGTAATACCCCTGAAGGACTAAATCTGCTTAAAATGGTTTTAGGAAAATGATTGTATCAATTAAAGAAAAACAACCAGAGAACTATTTCTCAGGCATGTTGTTATGGAAACGGAGCGAAATAAGTGGATGCAAGCACAGCTATAATTATAAAACAACCCAGAATTTCACTCACTGCTGCTTTAAATCCAGCCCCAGATGTTCTCCTGTGTCCGTGCTGAGACAACCGGCGCCTTGCCCAAAACCAATTCCTTTAGGGCCATATTTCCTCCCATAACATGTTTTGCAGTAGATTTCAGATTCATGAGCCGCTACTGTTGTGCTGTCCAGAGCTTTTCGGCAACCCACTGAGAAAGAAAGATGAAAACACACATTATGGTTTTGATCTGCAAACAGAGACACCTGCATTTTACTATTCTACATTGGAGGTTTGAAAGTGAGGATACTAAAAGTTTCCTATGTAATAATCAAAGGCACTATAAACTAGTTTAATAATAACAACAATAACAGAGTTGGAAGGGACCTTGTAGGTCATCTAGTCCAACCCCCCACCCAAGCAGGGGACCCTACATCGCCCAGCAGATCTACTGTTAGAGAAATGAGAAGTAATCAGAGAAAAACTAGGATGGAACATATGTGTCTGTTTTCCTCACCATTACAGCCCACGAGAAGAGTATCATGCAAAGAAGAATAAAAGCTAGCATTCAAGCTAGAATTCATTGATGGTGACAAGGATAGCAAGCTTTGAGTTCAGAAAGTCTTAAGGCTTCTTTCTGGAGAGTTGGTCCTATGCATCTGAATGTTGCAACTTTAAGCCATGCCAAGCTGTACATAGATTTATAACTAAAGTAGCTTTACAGAAACGCTATTAAATCGCTGATGATACTTTTCTCCAAAGGAAACGAAATCTGAGTGCCCACTGGACTTGGATCTTCTACAAAGCTCAGGCAAATTAAGTTTCCTTATTTGAGGAGAACATTTCCCCAATGAAAATACACTTTGAGCAAGTGTGGTATTATAATAAAGATTATGCATGGGACAGCTTCTCTTTCATATCCCTCACCAACCATAAACTATGTCTGCCTATCCAGCTTTGAAGTGAAGGTCATGAAGAATTCTGGCCTTATAAAACACCATTACAAAGTTCCTTAAGATTATGTGAAGTGCTTTGAATACTTATAGATCCTTTGAAGTCTAATGCAAATTAAGCTTTATTTGTATTTTTGGCAATGTATATTCATAGGCTACATCTGGGTCACAATTGTGGAAAGTAATGCTTTTCTGAATTCCACCACTACCCCCATGGAACAAAAATAAGATATATTCTGACTATATTGCAATAATATTGCTAGCTATCTGACTATAACATCATTCACTTATGAAATTAACAAAAGCCACTGCAAATGTTTCATATTTGTCCTAAGGACAGAAAGGCAGATATTCGTAGATGTTACAAGTAAAATTTCTCCACTGCATTAAGATCAAAAATGAAAGTTACTGAAGTAAATCGGAACGGATAAAATTGAGCCCTCTAAAGAAATAACGTTCTGTGATTTTGTGAATTTCCCCCTTGACTATTTTGCATTCTCATCTGGGAAGAAAAGATAATGAGGTCTGTGAATTGTTAAGGGATGGCTCCAGCAGCAGATAAAGTGCTTCTATTTCTGGTCTCTTTGGAACAGAGGGTCTGTGCTGCAACAGATGGCTCCAAAGCCTTGCTGGCTGAGAAGACTCATCTGTCAGAAAGTAGTTTGAAGTTGACAAATTGTGATTGAGCCACACAGCCACCACAGATGCCCTTTAAGTCAAAACTGACTTGGACAAATCAGAGGTGTTAATGACAGCAAGTCACATCATAAGGGCTAGAACTTTTCCTCCCCCATACAGGAGAGGCTGTGTTTTCTGCCAGCATTGTTCCACAAAATTAATGACTGAAGGCCATTTATTATTTATATGACTTTCCTACTAATTATACTTCAAGCTGTGTGAACACCATAAAATCATATAACAATTTAAACAACAAACTAGCTCACGAACATTTGCTACAGGAAATAATGTAAACATATAACGCAACCAACCAAGCAGCAGCAACCTTGATGCCTTTTATGCAGAAGTATGGTCTATTAAGTTTAATAAGAATTTAACTCCCAGATAATGAGGATGCAGTTGCAGTCTAAAAGTCTCTACAATAAAGCCTAATGTTGCACATTAAAAGCCATAGTATAAAAGACTTTTTTTTTTTTTTGCATATCTAGCAACAGAGAGAAAGGGGTGCTGTCTTGCTCTCAGCTGTCAACTCAGAGGAGAAGGTATTAAGGAAAGAAATCAGATCTCCAGCCATCCATTGGGTGTGAACGGTAGATAGACCATTATTTTGAGAAAATAAATTACTGATCAGGGACTTAAGAGACAAAAGCTTTTCCTAATGTTTCACCATAAATCAGTTCTCTTGTACTTTAAAACCATTATTCCTTGTTCTAGCCACTAGGATGTCAGTTTCAATTATATGAGAGGAGAAGTTGTGTTGAACATTAAAGAAAATATTTAAACCTTTCAAGAAAGATTGGAAAGAATACAGTATAGGTTCTGGCCCCTCCAACCATCAGCCCTTCTTTGGCTTGCTAAATTATTCTTTTATCAAAGTCGGCCCTGTTCTCCAATTGATTTGATGCTCATTTTTATTCAATATGCAACATCTGGATTCTTCATAGATCCTAACACAGACTGACTGTAAACTATTCTATCAGTTATGCTGTCATATAATTTCTGTTAGCTTGATTATTCAGTCTCCTTATTCTTCTTCATTCCTCCAAAAACACTGATTATTTTTTCAACAATCAAAACCTACTCTTAACATGGAGTCATCTAACTAATTATCAGACCCATGAATGAAAAGAACATCTATTTTCTATCAGTGTAATATACAATCTTTCTTGTGGTAAGACATTCATTGGTCTTTCAAATGAGGAAGGCCAGGAGAAAAACAATATTAATGGTATTGAAAATCAAAATTAAATACATATGTTTACATCCATGCAGCTAATAATATTTGTACGCTGCCTAGAGACACCCCCAGGCAAGGTGGGCAGCATATAATTTGAATAAATAAATATTTCTCTTTTGTCTTATTAAAATTAGTGTTTGATGTAAATTTTTGGAGAAGCTCTAGAGGTCTCATCCCAGATCTTAGATAGCTACAGTGTAGAGCTTCTAGCTGACTAAAAAATAGTGAGTTCAAGCTTGTTTCCCCCAGAGTAAATCTTTATGTTATTCAACGTGGCACTATTCATAAACACAACAGAGATGTCAGCAAATAGAACTATCACATATAAGTGACACATTTTTTCCCCAGAGGATTTTAAGCAAAGAGTTGTTTAACTCTTAAATTAAAACCTTCTTGGAAGTCATAGCAATGGATGTTCTACATTAGTAGAAAATTGGACTAGAATACCTTGAAAGGTCCTTCCCATGCTACAATTGGATTCACACATCATGCTATGTCATAATATATATTTTTTACTTTTTATTTATTTATCTGGATCCATTCCAGTCGGGCTTCAGGCATGGGTACAGCACGGAAACAGCATTGGTTGCATTGGTTGATGATCTCTGGAGGGTTCGGGACAGGGGTTGCTCCTCTGTCCTGGTCCTATTAGACCTCTCAGTGGCTTTTGATACCATCGACCATGGTATCATCCTGCACTGGCTGGAAGAGTTAGGGGTGGGAGGCACCGTCTTGCGGTGGTTCTCCTCCTTCCTCTCCGAACGGTCGCAGTCAGTGTTGGCAGGGGGGCAGAGGTCAACCCCAAGGCCCTTTGTATGTGGGGTGCCACAAGGATCGGTCCTCTCGCCCCTTCTGTTCAACATTTATGTGAAGCCGCTGGGCGAGATCATCCGTGGTTTCGCGGTGAAGTACCACCAGTATGCTGATGACACCCAGCTGTACATCTCCACCCCGGACCACCCCAATGATGCCCTTGAAGTGATGTCCCGGTACCTGGAGGCTGTACGGATCTGGATGGGGAGGAACAGACTCAGGCTCAACCCATCCAAGACCGAGTGGCTGTGGTTTCCGACATCCCGATATAGTCAGTTGGTGCCATCACTGACTATTGGGGGCGAGTCGTTGGCCCCCACAGAGAGGGCTCGCAACCTGGGGGTCCTCCTGGACTCACAGCTGTCTTTAGAAGAGCACTTGACGGCTGTGGCCGGGAGGGCATTTTATCAGGTTCGCCTGATTCGCCAGATCCCTTTCTGGATCGGGACTCATTAAATATGGTCACTCATGCCCTCGTCACTTCCTGCCTGGACTACTGCAATGCTCTCTACATGGGACTCCCTTTGAGGAGCACCCGGAGGCTCCAGCTGGTCCAGAATGCGGCCACGTGGGTGGTTATGGGAGCGACGTGGCGCTCCCATGTGACCCCCCTCCTGCGCGAGCTACACTGGCTCCCAGTGGTCTTCCAGGTGCGCTTCAAGGTTTTGGTTACCACCTTTAGAGCGCTCCATGGCTTAGGACCGGGGTATCTATGAGACCGCCTTCTGCCACCAGTAGTCTCTCACCGACCAGTACACTCCCATAGAGAGGGGCTCCTCAGGGTGCCGTCGGCCAAACAGTGTCGACTGGCGGCTCCCCGGGGGAGAGCCTTCTCTGTGGGGGCACCCACCATCTGGAACGAGCTCCCCCCGGAGATACGGAGGATCCCGGATCTGCGCGCTTTCCGCTGTGCCATCAAAACATTCCTATTCCAGCAGGCCGGCCTGGCCTAACCTCTCTTTCAAATTGTTTTTAAAAATTTTTAAAAATTTTAAATTTTAAATTTGTCTTATGAATTTGGGGTGTTTTAAATTTCGTTTTCTGGGCCAATTATTTAATTGTATTTTAATGGTTTTTTAACATTTGTATTATATTTATTTTATTTGGCTGTCCTTCATCGTTCGGGAGTAGGGCAGTATACAAATTCAATAAATAAAATAAAATAAATAAATAAATTTGCTTGCTTGCTTATTTATTTATTTATTTCAATTTCTGTAGCCATCCATCTCAATCAATGGCTCTGAGCCAATTCTGACTTATGATGTTGTATGGTCCCAAAAATTGTGGTTAATAAAGGGATTTTTAGCTAATTTTATGCAAGCTCACCTATTATGGTTTATTTAACAAACCACAATCCTTCCGAGGTTGGTAAAATGAATACCCAGATTGTTGGGGGTAATATGCTGATTCCATAAACCACTTAGGTTCAGAGAGTGTTATAAAACATTATGAAGCGGTATATAAGTCTAAGTGTTATTGCTATTGCTAATATTATGACTTGATGCTCTGTGAGGTAATCCACTTGAGTGATGTTGTGGCTCTGTAAAAGATTTTTTCTCAAGCACTATAACATAGGTTTCTGAAAATTTTATAAAAATCAAGAATTGAATTATTATTTAGTATTTATTCATTCATGAATATGACATTTGAATACAATAATTACTTTTTAGCTGCTCTTTTGGTAGGCAGAAATAAAGGATATTAGCTATTGTTCCAGGAGTCACAATGAGGAATAACAATCTACAACTATTTAGTGAAAGAAGAAACATAGATGAACTTACTGCATAGGAAACATGTCTTATGAAAACTCCGTCCATTACACTGAATTTCCTCAGCATGGTAGACTGTTTTGTCACACGCACCACATTTGGCTCCACCTCCCCAATTTGGCATCCTTGAATTTTTCAATTGGCTTGAGCTGGCACCTTTAAATCCAGAAATAAATGAAGCATAATTAGCAGAAATTAGTCCTCCAGCGTGCTATACTAAAACATTTTAACATGATGCTATGCAAGCTATCAGCTGTGTCGTAATGGAGCTCTCAGTTGGGACTACCATATCTGGGTTGCAAACTTTCAGACAACCAGTAGATGACAGAGAAAAAGATTTTTTTCTCTCTCTCTTTGCTGCAATCAAGTTATGGCATACTTAGGATGGTTCCCGTAAAAATGTATGCCTTGACTCTGGTTTGGTTTACAAATTTAAATGATGGGAATTGAGATGCATCATAAGTGCAAGAATCTCTCAAATTTATGACCTTTTATGAAGGGCCAAGTCTGAAAAATAAGAAGAGGATGAAAAATAGCTGATAAAAATTCTGAAGAATTGTGAAAGTTACCAAACATGTCTGCCCACCAGCTTGCAGTAGAGGCCCTCTTTTCCTGAGTGCCACCATCTCATATATCTGTCCTGATGCCCCTTGGAACAGTCATTCCAGGGAATTGTGGAAGTGGAAAATTGTGGCACACAGATGAACTGGGGGTTGGAAAATCTTCATTAGTGCTTAATAGTAGGAAAACCTCCCAGATAAGACAATAATCAAGAACAGAGCACTGTTACTACCTTGAACGTATAGCCACTGTGAAAACTTATGCATTGAGTTAGTGGCAAAAAATCTTTTGCTACCTGACACAAATCTAAAATAGTTTTATCTCCCTTCAAGAAGCATGATACGCAAGGTTATTTTGGCACCTATGACAGGAGATCCCACTGATTGTCCCACTGACATCTCTCTTGATCATTCCTGACAACAAAACAATGCAATGATAATAAATAAAATTATAATTCCCAGAAGGACTCCCAAACTATGTTCCATTTTGTAGTGCACTTCAACTTCAATCCAAAGGGGATCTTTAGAGATCTTCTAGTTAAGCCTTTAAAGAAATAATAAATTGCATGGAGCAAAATGTAGTATCTTCTACAAAGCAGCCTTTCATGATATAAGAATCTCCTTGTGTTCTCAACCTAATTATCAGATATCATCTCTTTTGTTGCTCCAATTGCTGTCAGCACTGTGGGGTTTTCAAACTTAACCTAAACAGTATTTATTCCTACTGAGTTTATCCTTTTGCCAAGTGGATCTTCTTTAGAAAGATCAAGCTACTCAAAACATCTTGGAATTATTCCTAAACTGAACAATAACTAGCTATATCTCATTGTAATTAAATTACCATGAAAGTATTTTCCTCCTGAAAATGAAATACCTATTTCAGTTCAAGAGAAGGAAGAAGAATTTGCTTTTCCTTCAAATATCAATAAGATATTTTTTCATCATGTGCATTTAATAAAATTAAGAATAAGCACAAGAATAACAAAATGAGGGCAAGCATATTCATACTCCCATACGCAACTTGGGAGTGCTCTCCTTTAACATGACATTTGGCTTTATTCTCTGCTGCTATATATTTAAAGTGTGACTCTTTTCTTTCTTTAGTTCAGTGCGTCCTCTCTTATTTCCCTATGCTATTTTATTTTAGCTCACTTGTGTTGTTGCTCAGCAACCAAAGTTAAAAAGAAATCCCTCTCATGCTCCCAGGTCTCCCTGAGTTGTTAGAAAAGCAGAGTGATAATACACTGCAGAGGCACATCCTTTCAGATTCCGCAAATAAATGTGTAAATTTCCTCCCTTTGAGAATCTGAGCTTTGCAATATGGTATGACAAAAGTTTAGCCCCAGCATTCAAAGCTTGTTCACACAGGCAATTAAGAATGGCATCACAGGCTTTAGAAAGCAAATGTTGTCTGTCCTAGAAACATAGCAGCACAAAAGAAGAGTTGCAATGAACAGCTGTGGAAAGCCTATATATATGCAAAGAAAGAGTTGGGCTGGATCTGAATCTGACTTAAAATGGTTAATAAATGGCTAGTCAATGATAGTTCTGATGAGCTATCTATTTTTGCGCTAAAGGTTCTTGGCCCAAATAGTTCATGTTAGAATCTCTGCTCAGAAATTCTAACATCACAATGTACGTGCTTTGATTACCACTTATCAAAAGAGCCTCCTATCTCATCAAATGTTTCTCGTCAGAGATTACAAGTCTAAGAGGTTGGAGGTGGATCAAGAGGGAGAAGAATGCAAAATAGATAAAAGGGTGAGGTGAGGGGACTATATTTAACTTGGTTGCACTTGCTGTATGTAGAACTAAGAATAAGAAAGCAATGGGCTTAAAAAAAACTTTATCATTTGGATCAGTTTGAAATTGTTTTTGTTGTGTTCCTCTTTCCTTTCCTTCTTTTTAGTAATAAGTCCAAGGGTAGTAATAAATTTATGAAGGAAATGAAACATTCTTAACTTCTTAAAGCAAATAGGCTAGGGATCATACTTAGAATGCCTGTCCAGACTCTTATCAAACACCTTCAGATGGAGAAGCCACAACCTCAGTAGAAAAGTCTGTTCCAATATTGTTTATAGTAGTGATATTTTTTCATTATGCTAACTTGACATTTTCTCTAAAAACACAATTGCATATCATTAATTAAACATCCATATTCACTTCATTATCTGGAAACCATCCAGCTTGCTCTTCCAATTAGGTTAGTCTTTTAATAAAGTCTGACATGACATCTTCATATATTTAGCCATCTTCTATCCCCAGAGTTCCTGTTGTCTGCTCTTTTGTTTTTATTACTTCACTTTTTTGAGCACACCATCAGTGATGAAAGACTGGTGTGAGATGAAGGTGAGATGAAACAAATATTTTCCCTTATTCTAGATTCTAGATTCTGGGCAGTTGAGTAGATTGAGTCAAATAAAATTAGAAAATGTGTTTCAGTTCAAAGGGAGGAGATCTCCACTTCCCCTCTCACCATGGTATGAAATACAATCAATACGCTGCATATTTTCCAAATGGCACAAAAAGGAGCTGAAAATAATAACTCTAGCTATTACTAATATTTGGGAAGCTAACAGCATACCAAACATCAACAGTATTAACTCTAGTTAAGGTACTATGGTAACACTCTGGTTCCAAATTTTAAATTTTGGTGTTCTATCCTGTCTGGGAGAAATAAAATAAACTCAAATGTTATTTGAATTGTCATCCATGTTGCATTCCAGATGTCCCATGATTCATTGGAAGAAAAAGGGTATCCAATGCTCTTCGCCTCTGCATTTCTAAGTTAGGTGAGTGATCCTGTCAGTAAATCCATACAGAAAAAAACTCTGTGGGACAATAATGATGTTGGCTAGTAGGTTGCAGCAAGCAAATATAACACTCAAAATATAGCAGTGACCTTTTCCTCGCCCTTTATTTCAGATGTACCACAGAAAGGAGCTGCATTGCTCATACTGCTTTCTTGATGTCTTGGTGAGTCATATTTTCTAGCCTCAGTCTGTTACATTATGATCAGTTGGGTTACTCTGAACTTCTGGCTCAGTCCATCTTTTAACCCTCTTGGCAAGCCAGTCACTTTCTTATTATAGCGTTTCCCTAAGAGAGAGGCTATCTAACTGACATTGGACCAAAACACTATTAAGATTTTGTTTTAAAATCAAGTCCAATATGTCATAAATTGCATTGCGATTCACCTAGCATTTTGCTCCCAAAAATTGCCATCTTGCTGTCACAGAAAAAGAAAGCTAGAGAAAAAAGTATTATGCCTAAGAATAATACAAAAATCAGTTACATTTCCAGTTTTCCAATTTAAAGTATAAGAGGAAATATTGGAATTATAGTATATTCAGGCAGAGTTAAACACAAGTGAGTTAATCACATATTATCTTCCTGTATTTTCCCCGTGTTAAATTTTGGCTCAGGGGTTGTTCTCTTGAATTCAGTCAAATATATGTATACCTTAGTTTGATTTGTGCAGTGCCATAATCAATATTATTTCTGGCAGAAAATACGTGGCAAACTATTTTTCCCAACTACCTGCAGAATATATTATAATTGTCAGTTCAATCAGTCCATTACACCATGGGTCAATAAAATAAAAAGTAAATTTCTTTCTCTCTCTCTTCACTTCTGGGTTGTACCTGCTCTAATCTGCCAAGAATGTCAAAGAAACTTTGGGCTATAGAAAACTCTTGTTCCAAGGGTACATCTGTATCAAAAATCACCTCCAACCTACAAGCCTGAAGTTGGTGGGAGGATAGGCCGAACACAAGTCAACCAAAGAGAAAAACATGCAAGAACCTAAAGAATCATGGAAGCAACCTATTAAATATCATCTCCATACATGAAAAAGTTCTTCCCCAAAATAGCTTATTAGACATTACTTGTTGATTATATAACCTGTCTGTTATATGAGAGCTGTTGTATGTAATAAAAATGAATTGAAAAAAACTTCCTCTCAATCTGTCTGATTTTGTTCAGTAAATTTACTCAGAGATTTGTAACCTTGAAACTGGAATATCTTTATAGTTTGTCTAAAAGTTGCATAGGAAACCCAAGCATTCAATTGATTTCAGTGGAATATAATTCAAGGCGTGTAGCTTCAATTTTTCTTCCTCAGAAAAAGTTGCGAGACTACAAATAGAATTCACTGTTTCACAACACAGTGGCATTTTTTAAAAGATACAGATCACAGGAGAGCTATTTTCCCAGAGTGGCAGTAGCTCCAAGATTTTATGGAGATCTTTCATCTTATCTTACTTCAGAAATGCACAAAAACTACCTGAAGCTTACATTCAGCTTTCCCAGAATCTCTTTGGCAGATTTCACAGTGGAACAAGATAAGTATTTTTAGCTGCTGTTATTTTGCTTTGGTGGGTTAATTTTCAGATTTAAAAAAAATCCTGACTTTATTTTTTTAAATAGATAACTCAAGGTGGTGAATTCTGTAATACAGAATTACAGAGTTGGAAGGGACCGTGGAGGTCTTATAGTCCAACTCCCTGTTCAAGCATGAGGCACTATACCATTCCAGGCAAATGGCTATCCAATATCTTCTTAAAGACCACCAGTGGAGCACTCACAACTTCTGAAGGGAAACTGTTTTATTGGTTAATTGTTCTGTCAGGAACCTTCTTAGCTCTAGGTTGGATCTCTCTTTGATAAGTTTCCACCTGTTACATCTGGTCCTGCCTTCAGGTGCTTTGGATAATTGGTTGATCCCTTTTTCTTTGTGATAGCTTCTTAACTATTAGAAGACTGGTATCATGTCACCCTGTAGTTCTTTGTTAGACTAGACATTCCCAGTTCCTGCAACCATTCATTTTAGCGTCCAGTTTTCTTTCTCCTCCTGTTTTGCCCACAACAGCCTTATGAGGCAAATTGGACTGTGAGAGAGGAACCAGCCCAAGACCAACCTAAGGCAGGACAAGAACTCAATTTTTTGTTTCCAGCTGGGTGTTTTAAACACAAGACCAAACTGAGTTGAGATCTCTAGTTTTTACAGATTCATTAAATTCATTAAAAGAATCGTATTCATTAAAAGAATCCCAGACTGCAATATTAAATGAACTAGCAAGACAGCTCCATTACACTAGAGGTTTTCTTTTTTTTTTTTGGGGGGGGGGGGGAGGGGGGTGTAAATTTAAAAATTCTAGATTTTCAAAAATAATAATAATTGCAACAGTAGTAAACATATTCTAGCAATCCATTTCTCTCCATGCGGAAAAACCACCCTCACTAAACAATAGCAGACTGTACCCGTTAATGTTTCTTAGCAATACTTACAAGAAGGAAATGTATGTATCTTCTTGTCTTCTTTATCTTTTTGAAGAGACCAAGCCAAGGTCAGGCTGACTTTAAATATTTTCCAGAAGAGGCGGGCTGTGTAAGTTGGGGCAGGGGTATGTGAGCAATGTTACTGCTATCAGGTAGCTTAAAATAACTTGTGACAAAGCCTTGGATTGAACATCGGTTATGACCAAGTAACAGAACAATGTGGGCCCCTCATATTACAGTCAATGCTTCCAACTGCAGTTGTCTAGACAAAAAGAAATCAAATGAATCAATAGGACCCCAGGCCTGAGCTGGGTTGCGACAATTATAACTGAATCCTTAAAAATGAAATGAAATTCAGTTAGACAGACCACTCAACTATAGAAAATGTTCGTTGTGGAAAAGCTGTAACTATGGTATACTATTAATATATGAAGACCTTGTAGAAACTTGTGATCCCCCCAAACTGAATAGAAAAAAAATTGTTATCACCTTGATCATTTTTTTAATATCCAAAGATGATACTCATCATACCACATGCTGTTGCCACTTCTCTGCTTAATCAAAGGTTGCGGGAGGAGGTGTTATTTTTCTTTTGCTTCTTCTTGGAGGCCAAGTTAAGAAAAAAGAACCCAGCATAAAAGACACATAAATAACTACAATGACAGATTAAAACAGGTGAGTCAACTTAATACCCTTTAATTCCAATCAGCTCTGGCCAGCATGACAAATAATGAGAGACAAGTACGAAACATCTGGAGAGCATAATCTTGCCTCATAAATTAAGCCTAAACTAAATGTAGTTTATTGAATGATTAGTCATGCAACCTTATCAATAAAATGAAATACAGTACATAGTCTAATTCCAAAATAAAATGGATCATTCAGTGATCTATTAAGGAGCATCTGCAGGGATATTTGAAGAGCTAGGAAGAATTATTAAGTCTCCATTAGTTCATATTTACTCATGTTGACTACCATACTAGGAACAATGAAAGAAGAGATATTGTCAAGCGCAGGAAATCTGGATTCCAGGCTGTTCAAATGAATATATAGGTTTATTGCACACTAAAGCTCTCTACAGGAATCTGAACTATTAACATTTAAAACAAATTGGCGGTGGATAAAAGTCCTGGAATTCAAGGTGGGCTGGACTTGGATCGCTTGTGGGTGTGAAGTGACTCGAGACCGATGATGCACTTGACACCTCCCCCAGGCCCAGACTGGACATCTCCTACAGATATTCACGGAGGATGACACTGGCTTCTGATCGTGTTGGTTATATATTGGCTCTAGCAGTGATCTGACTACCAACTGCTAGAGAATCCAAGTGAGAGGATTAATGTCTTTTTGGAATCTCCCTGTAAACAGAATATTGTATCTGATAGGCTTATTAAGGATTATGCATCTATTCTTGTTCGTCTAAATGTACATTTAAAGGTAATTTTTAGCCCAACAATCTCATATATGTCTACTCCAAAACAAGCCCATTGAGTTCCTGGACCCAAGTACAAAGAATTGCAGCAAAGAATAGAAATCATATAACTATATACAATTAAGTTATACTTTAAGGCACTGATGGCTAACCTTTTCTGGACCGAGTGCCAAAAGCGCGCCATCCCCCCCGCATGCACCCTTCCCCCGTGCATGCTCGCATGGCCCCCCACATGCACCCGAGAGACCCGAAGACCAGCTGGATGGCGGAAGGTGTGCACACATGCACAGCAGAGCTGAACTGGGGTGACGCTCGTGTGCCATCAGAGGGCGCTGCATGGCACCTCTGGCACGCGTGTCATAGGTTCACCATCCCGGCTTTAAGGAGTTCAAGATATGTCTAGTTATATATAAGATTTTTCTTTTAATTTTTATTTATTTATCTATCTAGGAATATGTATCTGACAATTTTTCATATGATATTTTCCAAACTTGGATAGTGTATTTACTTGCATCAGATATAAAATTTCAGCTGGCAAAATGCACTATGCAAGTGACTGATGTATTACAGTAAGAATCACCAGAATGCTATTACATACATCTTTTCCCCAAGTAAAACAGATAAGTACCTAAATAATATCATCTATACTATAGTCCTAAGTGGACATACAGACTGACTTTAAAAAATGATAGAAAGTGCCAGATGCAGTTACAGGTAGTCCTCAACTTACAACCACAAATGAAGTGAAGCATGTGTTAAATGAATTTTGCCCCATTTATGATCTTTCTTGCTACAGTTAAGTGAATCACTGCAGTTGTTAAGTTAGTAACCTGGTAGTTAAGTGAATCTGGCTTCACCATTGACTTTGCTTGTCAAAAGATCACAAAAAGTGATCACATGACTCTGAGACTCTGCAACTGTCATGAGTCAGTTTTAAGCATTTGAATTTTGATCACATGACCATGGGAATGCTGCAATGGGTTGTGTGAAAAATGGTCATAAGTCACATTTTCAGTACCGTTGTAATTTTGAGCAGTCACTAAACGAACTGTCGTAAGTCAAGGACCACATGTATTTGAGTTAATCAAAATGAAGATTACACGTATCATACAAATGATTGAAAGAAGCATATGAAAAATGACTTCCTCAGTCCCAAAAATGACTTCATCAGTCACAAGATCATATATCTTCATAAAAGAACTCAACCAAACTAGATAATTAATAATGTTATTTGCATGATAGGCAGCAGGAAATAAATCAAGGCTGAAGTACATATTACAAAAGTCATACAATACAAACAGGGGAGAAATTGCAGATGCATTTCTGTTTAGGAGCCAGAACCAGAATAGTAACTTTCAAGGAAATACTTTTTGATCTGTAGCTGATTTTACATTATTATGGCAACAAACAGCAATTACTGTATTTTTTTTCCTTATTCACAATAAGGACAATTTGCTGGAGTTAAAGAAGCAAGATATTTCATGAAATAAAACAGAAATAACTCATAAAGCTATTGCATACTGTTAACATCCAACTACTTAAAACATGTTGAAAAAAGCCCCAAAGGATAGTTAACCAATCATCCATAGAATTGTCCCAAACCCTAGAGATTTCAGGCAGAACTTACAATATTTGTATCTAGAAACAAAATTTAGGGAGGTATTAACACAAACAAGGCAGAAGATACCGATTATGAAATAATTTGAACATTTATCACGAAAACTTTTAAAAAATCAAGTTCAATTATTAATTTAAAGGATTAAATAAACATTAAATTATATATTGCATTTAATTTACATTGACATGATAAAATATCAAATTTACAACAAAGAATTACTGTGGCATTTAGTATTGCAATTATATTTATTGAAGCTGGGGACGCAGTATGTATATTCTGTTGATCCACCAAGTATTCTTCAGCATTAGCAATGTTTCTGGGAAAATTCCTTCTGATTCATAAGACAATCAATGAGAGCCAGGATCTAGGCTTGGATCACTTGACATTTCATTGCCTTTCTTAGAATCTTTGAATGTCACAGGAACACTGGTCTAGATGAAAGGAAAAAAAACTCAAGTGTTATTTGCAAGCTAACTAGCTAAAGAAATTTATGTTCTTTAGCATGAAATAGACAAGAGGAATATTTAGTTTATTATTGTTAGTACGCAGATCATCCTATATGGGACTTAGTTTACTTTATTGATTAGCCTTTGGGCCATATTAAAGTGCAGAGTTCAAGATACAAATTATTACTAAAATCTGATAAAAACAATTTAAAATGGAATTTGATAAAATACAATTTAAAATGAAATTGGAATAAAATATGGTTTAAAATGAAATTGGAATAAAATACAATATTTAATATATAAATAAATAAAATACAATAAAATTATATTTCGGTGTCACCCCTACAATCTATCCCAATCAGTCCCACATATGCAGATATCAACTGAACCATTTTGCTTAAGGACTGCGGTGTTAAATGTTATTTTCAGATTCTGGCCGCACATAAGGTAAGTTGTTTTGATATGGGGATCCCAATGGGTCATTCGTTTGGTATATAGACCAGGGTACCTGTTTCTCACCCTCTTACAAAAGCCAACAATCATATAGGATGTGAGCCAGGTCTTCTACCTCTGCCGCTCCGCAAATGCAGAGATGTCCATTGTAGGGTATAGAATGGAATCTACCATATCTGACCATCGTGTCAAGCTGTTCGAATCTTGCTCGCATAAATATCTCCCTAAGACATTTTGGCAGTTGTAACTTTAAATAGCTGCCTATTTGAAAAGTATGTTTGTATTTGCTCAGCCATTTCAAGTTACCTACATACTTTTCAGAATATAAGACACACTTCCTCCCCCACTCAAAAGAGGGTGGAAATGTTGGTGTGTCTTATACACCGAATACAGCTATTTTTGGCCTCTTGAAACCCCGCCCCACATGTCCCATTTTTGCCAAAAACAGAGTTGCGCAGAGGGTTTGAGAGGCCTGCAGAGTGCTCCTGGGGGCTGGGGAGGGCAAAAACGTGACATGGGGGAGGGCGTTTGGGAAGGAAAAAATGGGCCCATTTTCGCAAAAACAAGACACACAGAGGGTTTGGGAGGCCTGCTGAGGCTCCTGCAGGCTGGGGAGGGCAAAAGCTTTTTTCCCCCTTGTTTACCTCTTTGAAATCTTGGTGCGTTTTATACTCCAGTGCGTTTTATAGTCCAAAAAATATGGTATATGGACTTGATGGCACACAATTAATCAGCTATATATCTTTACTTGCTATATCTTTACTTTTCACCACAGGGAGATGTAGAATTTTTAAACAGTAGCTTGGATGCATATATGCTAATATTTAGTCCAAATGAAATGCTACAGATAGGTAACAGTCAGTCTTGGAAGGAGTTACAACTGAAGAACCAATGTCACAGCTACAAGTTCTGCTAGATATCAAGTTGTCTAAGGCAGGGGTCCCAACTCCAACTACCGGGCTGCGGCCCATTCAGAACCAGACCATAGAAGTGGCAGGTGAGCGTCCATGTGCAGCTCCACTTGCACGTTGATGAATATACCTGCAGCTCCATTTGTGGAGGTGGTGGATGCACGTGCCCGCTGTCACATGGAACCACCCCTTCTTGCCCTCCCGCTGCTGGTCCGCAAAGCCAAACGGGTTGGAGACTGCTGGTCTAAGCTGTCTAAGTATTATCTGTGTCTAATCACTTTTGCCTCTTTGTGGAAAGCTTAGAATTATGCTCTGTTAATCATGCACTGATGTCATGCAGATTAGATATTGCAAAGGATTTTAGGCAGAGCTGCTTTTAAGGACAGTTGATAAATTTCAATTGGATCCGAATGCAGCCAGTTGGATGCATGTTCTGGCCAAGTATTAGTAGTACAATGTGCAGATATTTTATCAATTGCATTAGGATCCTGCAATTTCCAGGATCAATGCTAGCTCACTGAAAGAGAAAACATCAGCTAAGCTCCAGAATTGGAAAGTTTTGTGGAAGTCTCGCCAACATTGGTCTTGCAACTTTATGTTACTCCAAGGGAATAAATCCCCTTCAGAATAATGTTTAGTCTTATACATACTACAACTCACTAAAAGGAAAAGCATTAAAAAAGAATACATGTGTATTTTTTATTAGGAGTCTCAGTGGAATACATTCATACATTTACTCCCATTATTAATTTCTATTGTTCCTAATATCCCCTTCAACTAATAACAGAACTTGTATAAGACAACTTAATTCTAAAAACCAGAATATGCCAGACAGGACTTTAAATTTGTAAAAATAAAAAATAAAATAAAATTTAAAAAAGTAATTGGTTGATTCACTTCCTTCTCCTAAACTCTCCAATAAAATTGACTATAAATTAATAAGAGAACAGTGGTTTCATTTCTCTTGAAGCTAGTAAAATATTTTCAAATTTGGCAATAGTATAAGGAATAATTTCAAATTATTCAAACTCCATTATAAAATCAAATGTAACTGAATATGAGACAACTTATGGGCTTATGCACAAGTATATATGGGATATTCAGGCACTTTTAAAAAGTATTACTGTAATGTACAGTATATTTATTTATTTATTTATTTTATTAAATTTTTATACTGCCCTTCTCCTGCTGGACTCAGGCGGTGAACAGCCAAGAATAAAAACATCAAATACAAAATTTAAATTTTTTTTTAAAAGAATTAAACAAATTTTTGGCCCAATAAATTTTAAACACCCCAACTAAAATCAATTTACAGTTAAAAATATCTAAAAATATCTAAGGGGGGATTACACCAGCCCAGCTTGATGAAATAAAAAAGTTTTAAGGGCACAGAGAAAAGCACGGAGATCTGGTATCCTACGTATCTCCAGGGGCAGGTCATTCCAGAGGGCAGGTGCTGCCACAGAGAAGGCTCTCCCCATGGGGGTCGCCAGCCGACATTGTCTGGCCGACGGCACCCTGAGGAGTCCCTCTCTGTGGGAGCGTACTGGCCGGGGGGAGGCTATCGGTGGCAGAAGGCGGTCCCGTAAGTACCGTATATACTTGTTATCAATTGATATACAATGAGAAATAGTTCAGATTGCAGTATGTTAGGCTGCTTATTAGAGGCTTAAGCAATGCAAGTATTGTGCAGGCTTCCGATTACAAAAATGCAAAGCAATTACAATCTTCAATTTTTTTAACAGTTCTCTTGCTGCTTTTCTCACTAGTCTGATGTATTTTATATACTTTTTAATCAACTATTTCCCATTCTAAGAGCCAAAACAGATGACCAGCCAGTTAAAAGCTCAAGGAATGCTGTAGTTTTCCAATATCATGTATCAACTTATAGGGTTCTACAAATCATTGGAACAAAGCTTGGATGCACTTTTCCAAGTGGAAAAAAATGAAATTAACTGCACCCACAAATAAAAGCGCGAGGTAGCCAACAGCAGTTTCCAAAACAATTTTACAAGCCTGGAAAAATATAGCTTTTAATTATTTAAACAATAATTTGTATGCACTTCTGCGCCTTCTTTGAAAAGATTTGCAGAGTCCCAATTACTTAATATTTTCGAAAAGAATCTTACCTCCTGAGGAGTGGTTGGAACCAATTCTCCATGCAAATCTCGGTAATCCCTTAGTAATACGGTAGCTTGCTGCAATCCTACACTTACTGGAACAGGACTAACATGTTCTGCTCCTTGACAAATGAAAGCAGATCGATGTACGTGATCTGCAGACATCTGTACACTACCTGGCATCATTCCTAACTGTTGTAGCATAATGTTCAGAACTAAGGTGCTCTGAGATGGGATAGGGTTAACATGGACTGATTCAACGGCCCCATTCCCTGAGGATGTGGTTGCTACAGAAGGTGGTGGTAGTATTAGGTTAAGAGGTGTTATATGAAAAGTAGGGAAATTAGATGTCACTGGAATTCGACCTATAGCAAAGAAGAAAGAGAACAAACTATTACCAGGAAACATACTTTATGCCATGCAACTTGTATTAATACGCAAAAAGCAGTTTAGTACAGCCAGCTATTTTGAGTTTGGAGAAGGTGGCAATTAAGCATGAAGGGTCAAGTCTGAAGGCCTAATGCAAAAGATGTTACTTGGAACCCTGACATGTAGAAGCAATGGGTTTTAAGAGCTATTGATTAGAGCTGACCAAACCTCAATGCAGCCAGAAACTTTCATCTATGTTCTGTCCCCGTCTCACACACGCACCCCCACAGACAGGCAACAGTTAAAGAACTCAGCCGAAACAGTTTATCCGGTATCAGAATTGGCAGCAACCCAGTGGCTGGCTGCCAGGTATTCTTTACTCACGAGGGGGGAGTTTCTCCCTTCATCCGGGAACAAAGCCAATACACAATAATCAACAAAGTCCAGTAAATACAAAGAAGGTCGTCCAATATCCATTTTTTGCTTGTCACAGAGCTGAACCAGCCACCACATCCTCTTTTATACCCTGTGGGGTGTGGTCCAGTGACCTATCTTAATCCCTGGCACGCCTCTTCTTCCGCTGCACGCGCTTATCTCTGTGACGCTGCCGAAGGTCCAGCCAAGACTCATCTTCCTCATTACTGTCCACCTGTGGCTGCGTGGACGTGTCCCCGGGCCTATCTCTTGACTTTCGGAGGACACCGAAGGCATTGCCAGAGAGGAGGGTCCTGGAGAGGGAGGCCTTGCCAACTCCTCTCCTTCACTCTCGGAGTCCTCTCCTGCCGATAACACAGGCTTAGGTAACGGAGCCACAACAATCTATAAAATAATTTTATCTGGCTTCATTGCCTTAAAACCTTAGCTGTATCCCTTAGCTGCTAATAGAAAATATCAAAATGAATTAACTTTGGAAAAATCCTGTGGTGTGGTCATCATATACTTACCTAGATTAGGAGAATTGTAGGATTTCTTTTCCACTGCACACAACTCTGTTTTCCCCTTACTGGATATAGTAACTTCACTGGGGAGCTAAGGAAAGGAAATAGCGTTAAGAGATAATTGGACTAGAATTCATAGTCTCCTGGTTTCTAACCTGATGCCTTAATCCCCAGACCAAACTGGCTTTCCAACAAGATGTAACCAGAGTCTGCAAGTAATATAGTATAAAACTAAAGAACATAAATGGGCCAGGGGTGGGTTCAACGTATCTTTACTACCGGTTTGCAACGGAAGTGCGTGTGTGCTTCTGCGCATGCGCAGATCATCCATTATGATGTCCAGGCAGGTGGGCGGAGCCTCCTGCCGTTTTTACTACCGGTTCGTAAGAGCTGGACAGAACCGGGAGCAACCCACCACTGAAATGGGCATGTATCTGTGGTTGCCAACATTGCTTTCTCCTGCATTGATCTTGAAGTTACTTTCATACTTTAAGTTGATATGAAAAGAAAAAATCCTTTGAGTGTGTATTATTAAACTATTGAGCCTTTCAGAAGAACAATATACTGTATAAGTGTATAATGTCTGACAGGGAATGTGCCTTTGGTATAGCAGCTGCAAATCCTGGAGGCATTTTCTGTGCTCTGCCAACTTGATCATATTCAAAAGTATCTCTCTACGTCTTCTGTTCGCATTGGAATTTCACTTCTCTGGGTACATGTTTATTTTGGTAAGTTACTGGTGAAATTAAGACTTCCTGATTTATATGAAAAGTTACAGAACCCTGGTGATTTTTATCCTTAACAGACTTACCCTGAAATATATAGAAAATTAGAATGTTGCTTTAGAGAGCTTTGGTATGTTTTAAATATATATTATTTTGGTTAATATGTCACTAAAACAGCTGCATTCATGGGCAAGAAAAAATAATGCAAAGGAAAGGGATTGTAGCAGCTGCATTTATTAAAAATGTTCTTCTGGGCTTTCTCTAGTATTATATGTAATTTAAGAATGACGTGAAATGTTGGTTTTTCTGCAACAGAAAATTATTTAGTACATGGAACAATTACACTTAAAGATAGCTTACCAGCAGTGAATCTTGAAGCTCCAATTTTTTACTCTTGCATTTTTTAATTGGACTATCATCTAATCGCAATTTAGATCTTTTAAAACATTTCCCAGATATCATGTCATCTGTTGTTTCACTGGGTTCTTTAGTTTGCCAGAGTGGCAGCTCTTCAGCTTTTTTCCAATCATTAAAATTGTCTTTAGTAAATGTTTCAGTAAGAGCTTCCACGGGAGTCTTAATTTTAGTCACATGAGTAGTAGAAACAGGATATACCATGTAATTTGGGTATGTTGTCACTACTTGGGACGGATTCAGATATGCTGCACGTGGTACAGTAGAAAGGACAGGGAGAAGTATTGAGTTGGAGGTCGGGGATAAGTTTGCCGCTTGAGAAGGCAACAAGATTGCTTTGGGCTTCAAACAAGATTCAGAAGGTGAAGTGTTCTCCAATTTCTTTTTTCTCTTTTCAAATTCGCTAAAAAAATAAATTCAGTGTTAAATCTTTAATCCAAATTTCCTCTGCTGGAATTTTTTTTCTGCTGCGAGACATCATCAATACAATATTAGATCTTTTTACTTGGAAAATAACACGCACACACACAATTTATAATAACTACATTATTAAGTGTATAAAAAAGTTAATAGACTTCAGATTTTAGAAGCTGTAATATTACTATGTCATAATTATGTTAACTGTTGGTATAAACAACAGCTATAAATAGCTGATTTCAACAGATAGTTTATTACATTAATTAGCAACCACCATGCCTTATGTAGAAATATACCTTGATTGTTCATCTAATTGTTGCTTGCATATTGCTGCAAGTTGAGCCATCTTGCTTGAAATAGTTGAAGGATTTGAGCCTTTATATGAAAAGAAATAGAAGCATTTAACTTGCATTTTATTTAAAATCTAGTAAACTTAGATCCAGCTTGAAACTCCTTCTAAAATCCATCACTGATAGTGCTGACATGGCTTGGCTCATGGCCTTTTCTTATGATCTAAATTAGTGTCCTTGATACAGCTTGTTCCATGAAGAGATAAGATGACAGAGAATTGTCATATGTATTTCCTTATTATCAATTTATTTTATCTACCTAAGCCATTAGGTTCTAATTTTTCTAAACCTCCAAGTGCAACATGTACACATGAATTTTATTCTCATAAAACAAGGAGTCAGAAAGACTGCTCAAAAACAAACAAACAGACATGTAAACAGCATCCTCTGCTTATGAAACATATTTACATATTTTGTATTCTACAGCAGGGTCCCCAACCCTGGGCTGCAGCCCACTACTGGGCTGTGGTCTATTTGGAATTGGACTGTGTGGAATGGTAGGCCGGCACGCATGCATGCAGCTCGATTTCCATGTAAGTTGAGCTGCATGTGCGTGTGCACCATCCCGCCACTTGCATGGCCCAGTTCCCCTCTCCCCCCATCCCCCAGCCAGGCCACCAAGCCGCAAAGGTTGGGAACTACTGCTCTACAAGTAAGAAATTAAGAACAAATACCACCATTCCCTACTTTAATAATTTTTTCAGAATGATATGAAACATCTTGTATCCTACATACCTAAATATTTTTTGACAGGGCTGCCTGGAGCTGAATGACTCTTTCTCTCATCATTTTCTTTATTCCTTGCCAGTTTTATCAAAGACGGATGCCGTGTGAAATTTGGTTTGCTATTAGTAGGGAAGAGATTCTTAGAACAACACTCTTTAAAAGGTTTGTCTTCCACAGGAATTGGTATTGCATCCAGTTTTGGCTGGGCATCTATGACACAATCATACACAGAACTCTAACATTAATATACTATTATTACATTCTTTGTTTTGACAGTTATCACTTTTAAATATTTCTTTTAAAAGAAGTAATTAGCCCTCTAAGCATGAATATCCATGTTGATATATTATATTAATATAATGACACAAAGGAGAAATTAACCATCTTAACTTTGTATGACTTTTATAGGTTGGGAGTAGCACAAGTGAGCAGAAATTAACATGGAATCTAATTGTAGCTCAAAAATAACTTAAGTCTAGTTCAAAAGTAATCATGCACCTACCTTTCATAACAGAAAAAACATTTGGTCCTATCCATTTAAATGCTGGCTTGCGGCCCTTCTCTTCCGTAATGTGAACCTTCTTGATGAGCTCAAGGCTACTGAGAACATTAGCAATATCATATAGTCTTCGAATTTTAGCTGAAATAAGTTAAAAAGCTAATGAAAAATACAAAAACAAAAATTCAAAATTGTTAACGCTAGAGTTTTCCTTCCCCTTCCTGCTGTATAGATATACCAGAAACATTTCAGTTTGAGGGATCTATGATTTAAGGCCAGGGTGGATGTTCAACATTTTGCATTCTTCTACCAGACTCCATATTTAATATTTTAAAAACACAATTGCTTTGGTTTTCCTTTGGAGAAATATTTAATGGCAGTGATGATTTCTAAACAGAGAATTAAAATTAAGCTAATTTAAAACAGAGAATTAAAATTATTCAATGCAGCTTTTAGAAACATGGATCCTAAACCTTCTTCCCAGGAATGGCCTTCGAAAGATCACTCTCAATTCAGGTTATAATGATTTGGATGCCTTTTACAGCAATAGAGGCCCCTTATAGCATGCAACACTTTTGTTTTATTCAGTGAAAATTAAGAGGACTGAAAACCAGGAATCAAAAAGAACAGAGCAGAGCAAGGAACCTACTGTGGGAAAGCTTCCCTCTTTGAAGCTAAGGGAAGCAACTTTAATAACTGATCAAATGCTTCTTATGGTGGCCTGAATAGTTATGTCACACATGGACTGTTGTCACTGAGATTTTGGTCAATTATCCTAGCGGTCTAACACAAAGGTGAGAAGGAGATAATTTTGGCTGCTTGAAAGAAAAGAGCATGATGGGCGAACAAGCTGAATAGAGGGGAGCAGCTGGTTGCAGTAAAATGAACATTAGACTCTCCAGCAATTTTATTAGGGTTTCACCCAGTCTGTAAGAAAAGATTTCTTAAGAGATAATAATGGATAATTTAAAACCCAAAGAGGGATGCACTTTTCTGAGCAGTAAAATTACTCTCATTACATTGACTGTAGTCACCCATCTCATAATAGTTTGTTTTTTTTACCTCAGCATGTTGTGAGGATGCAGCCTGTTTCATGTAAAATCATGGTTTATCATAGCAGTCCATAATCCATATGCAGCTATAATCTATATGCAAGTTTTACCATGGTGGTCCAAAATACATATGCAGCCCCTTAGCACTCTGCCACTGAAATTTGGCAACAAAATACTGGCCAGCTTTTCAAGTGAGACTGGGAGCAGTTAACTTCCTGGTAAGCAAGGAAGTTTATTTTTACAAGCTTATGGCTGACGGTGACTTTTTTTAATCACATAAATTAAATCAGGCACACAACATAGAACTTTTTACCACTTACTTTTAAACTTGCTTTTATCCAGTGATTCACAATGGTCTTTGCCAATCAAACTTTTAGCAGCAACTTCAAGACTCACAACTTGGGGATATGACTGAAGAAACAACATTACAAATTTCTGGCTCATCACTCTTAAAGATTTGTCTTTACGACTATTTACTGAAGCTGTTCAAATAAGACAGACAAGAACCAAATACAAAAGTAAATTCAAATCATAATTGGAAAATGGCATATTTCACTAGGGCTTGATTTTGGTCGATAACTGGATGTGGTTTAGTTTATGAATTACTTGTTGATATTTGCATCAATAAATTATGTATGGGTAGTTCTCGTTTTAGAGATTGCCCTGGATAGGGACCATTTGGATTTATGGCGATGATGAAAAAGTAACTTTGTGTCCAAGGCCTGCATTTATTAGCCACCTCACAGAGCAGAAAGATTACCTAAACAAGCTATCTCTTCCTGGCTCTTTTCTTCACGGTGCAGTTCATCCTTAAAAAGTGCTAACCATAAGTTAACAAGTTAGCTCTGTAACCTTAGTTGATTAGAATTCTCAGGCTCTCTGGCACTGCTGCCTGGTACTGACAAGACTCTAATCAGTTTTTCAGTAATGGGTTTTGTTTGCTTCCTAAACTGCTCATCAAGAATACACTAGGAAAACAGCTGGTGTTAGTACATTCCTTTTGATGTGTATTCTCTACTGTGCCCCTACTTACTCTTTTGTAATTTCTTCTCCTCCAATGAATATAAATACAAATATCAATTCCTTTCTAATTATCATAACGTCAAGGTGAACATTCCAAAGAATGCTATAAAATTTTCCCTTTTACTCAGCTTCCTCAAGAATCAAGTTTTGGAAACTTTCCTGCCTTCTGATGTTTTAAAGCAAAGGAAAGCTGAAGTAAAATCATAAGCACTACTGTGGTCATGTGATTGTTCACTTAGCAACCACTTTGGTTAACAAACCCAAACCCAATTGTGATTCCTAAACAAGAATTACCTTTGTTTTCAACAAGATTATTTATTGATTTTGTAAAATTTATCTCCTATCCCATTCTTTGCTTACTCTGTTATGGGATCACACTCTCCGTATCAGAAGGGATTTTAGAAAAGGCTCAAGGAGAAAGTTAATGGCTTTTAGGATAGTTTTGCAATCTTCAGCTTTTCTAAGCACAGTTTTTCTAAGCTTTTAAAAACATTTACTTTAATTAATGGATTATACCCTGCATTTTAGCAAATGGAATCATAGGACATCTTCATCTATGAACATGCCTTTCCTAGAATTACCTGCTTGAAGTTCCATCCTAGGAAGTTCCACAAAGTCTGTATCATAACTTGACCTAGCATGCATTGGCATCCATTCAATATTGTGACCAGTATTTCCAATCTCTTGTCCATTTTTTCCTTGTTTAGTCAATTTGATTTGTTGCAAGTACTTGTTTTCCTCTGCTACTTTTTTCAAAGCCTGCAGTGTTTTTTTAAGATTATGACGGCCATGCCAGGAATATCTGTTTTTGGCAAGTCGGCTCACCATGTGAAGACTTTCTAATACATTCATTATGTCATAGATACGCCTGCGCTCAATATCTGGAATGATGGAAACATCACAAATTATTTTTCAGTTTCTTTTTCAATCTTATCAATTTCCTAAAGTATGAATTTAAATATTTTAACTATCAAAATAAATGAAAGGACTTCAATTATAGAAAATACAATCTTAGCGGTGGCTAGAATCTTAGTAGTGGTTAGAATGCAGTATTGCAAGCTAACTCTGCACACGTTGCCAGGAGTTTGATTCCTTCGATCCTGACTGCCTCAAGGTTGACTCAGCCTTCCATCCTTCCGAGGTCAATAAAATGTGGGCCCAGATTGTTGGGGGCAATATGTCGATTCTGTAAACCGCTGAGAGAGGGCTGTAAAGCACTGCGAAGTGGTATATAAGTGCTATTGCTATCTTGTTCAGTTAACATAAGCACAAGATTTTTTCAAACCTCCCAAATGGGGGTAGAGCTGATAAATTGGGATTTTTAAAAAATATGCTTTTTAAGAGTATCTCTATAATTCCTGAAAAGAGAGATCAGAGTTTGTCAAAGGGGTAAATATAATTCAAGGATCAATGGAACCCCCAGGGGGTTGACAGTTTGGGGTCAATAGGTGATCTGTCGGGGGGGAGGCAATTTGTGGTCCATAAATGATGCAAGGTCAATAATGGTTAATTAGTCTTTTGTGGTCTCTGTAGAGATCCCTAGTCCTGAAGATGAAGTAGCTAGTGGTAAGACAATGTTACCCAGGGTTGGGTGATCAGCTGCTGTAATGCAATGTATGGATGACCTCAGGGGATGAGGGGAAAAGATTCTGCATAGGAAACAATAAGACAAGAGAGGGAGGACCCCCCAATGGATTAATAATTACGAGGACAAAATTTAGGAAGGACCTGCCCTAATTGATCAGGGGTTTAAAAGTGATGGTGGGAAGTTTGTGTCTTCAGACTCGCAAGTTTCTGTTAATATAGCTTTACAATAAAGTAGAATTAGCTCATCTATTTGTGGTTCTGTTTGGTTTACCTGGGAGGATTGACAGCCCCCAGATAGGGTGGCCCTCAGTCGTATCTATTTTATTATTATTCCTATTGCTATTTGTTAAAATAGTATTTATTATATTATTTCTATATAACAAATATTTGGGGGTTAGGGAATACGAGCTGAAGAGTTTGGGACTCATGTTCTAGATTTTCTAGGAAGATATTATTAATGTGTTTAGCTTGATACTTTCTAGTTATGTGGTTTTTTAAAATTTATTGATGATGCACACTAGTTTTCAAAACTCTTGTACCCTGGGCCTTTTTAATATGCATAAAAAATCAAACTGAAAGGGGGAAAAATGATATTGACCTTTTAAAAGAATTTTAAGATATCATGGAACAAAACATCTAGCTGATTTATGGTTTGAAAGGCCAATTATATTTTTGCAACTCTGCACTTAGTAAGTGGTAATTCTTTAGAGATATAGTATATATATATTAGAGATTTATATTTTAATTAAAACATGCAATATATTTTACACACTAAGCATGTATAATGTATAACCTGGCTCGGTTCCCGAGTTTGGGGCACTGAATGTGCCAAGGGCTTGGCTATATTGCTAACAGACCAAATATCTTGCTCTTGTGTATCTTGAATTGAATGTTTTTAATGTTTTTTTATTGGTTTTACTGTTTTTATTGATTTAAAATGTTTTTAAATTATTAATTGTAATGTATGTTATTGAACTGTAAGCTTCCCAGAGTCACTGACTGAGATGGGCTGCTATAGAAATTGAACAAACAAATAAACAAACAATACAAAACACAGTAACATTATTACCATTTGAAATAAATCTAAAGAATAAAAAATAGATGTTTGGAATGCTACTTCATTTGAAAGTAAATCCTCCAAACCAAAAGGGATTTGAGAAACTCCAGACATGATGCTATGAACAAAATAACTTTGTTTAGGACTACTCCAAATGCTGCCAGTTCGGAGGATTTATGTTCAAATACTGTAAACTATTGCAGAACAGCATGGCTGGGAAGAGATTCTGCAAATATGGAGAGTAGAACTTTTTATTCTTGAACTGATAAATTTTGCACATCCATATGTTCCTTTTAATAGGCATAAGATTTGTCAAGAAAAAAATTAAGATGATGCAATGCCAAAACTTACTGAGATCTTCTGCTACCTCATCAAGACATATTTCATTACTTTTAGAAAAGTTAGGATAACTAGGATAGCGGGCTAAGAATTTATGACACAGCAATCCAAGGCTTTTCTCTTTACGGCTTGTTTGAGGCTTTTCATATTCATCTCCTGACAGATGATCCTGCAGAGAGAAAGGGATGGAAAAAAGCTCTTCTATGACATTTTAAAATCCTCAAAATTTAACCAGCATTCCAGATTTTAAGTGTAACACAGGAGAATGGATTAAATCAATACATTGTCAAGCAATGTACATTCCAAATACATATATAATTTAGTCTTGCTTTTTATATTTATAACAAGCATATTTATTTAATTAATTTATATGCCGCTTCATCTCAGTGTTGAAGCAACATTATCAATTACTACAGGTATGGAAAAATGAAACAAGAAAAAAGATTTACCTCAAGGCTTTCACTTTTATCATCTGACCATTTTTTCTTCCCCTGTTCTCGATTTCTAATCTCAGGACTAGCCGCACTAATCAGCATTTTAAGGTTAGCGGTTGGGGTCCATGGATCGCCAGAAGTGCTTTCATTGGGCTTTGGTGGTGTTGTCAGATGGTCAGAAGCAGTAGGCTGGATCTCTGCCAAAAGCCAATTGGGGGTAACTGTTTGTTTTAGAGGAGTTTTGACTGGGCTTCCACGCACTCCAAAACACTGATTTTCCTAAACCAAAAAAGAAAGAAAAAATGGAACAATACTGAGCATTAAAATGTGATTCAGAGACTGATTGTAATATTGAAAGACATGCTTTTTGCCAAAATTGACCTCACTACAGTGGTGAAATCCGAACCGGTTTGCTGGCTGCACATGCACACTATGTGCCAAACGCACGCTGCATGTACATGCGCGATGTGCACCAAACACACGCTCTGCACGCATGTGCATGCACAGTATGCGCCAAAAGGAGGCTTGGGAAGGTAAGTAGAAGAGCGAGGGGCGGGGGGGAAATCAGTTATGGCACGCGATTTAGCTTTGCTAGAAAGCAGGAAATCCTGCTTTCTAGCAAAGCTAAACCCCACTGCACAGCTGATCATCAGAAATACCGGTTCAGAGGAACTGGTAGCTTTTTTAAACTACCGGTTCACCCGAACAGGAGTGAACTGGTAGCATTTCACCCCTGCCTTACTGTATTTTTTTGCCAAAATTGCCAAAACTTATTTCTGCTGGATTTGACAGAACTCACTTTTATTTAAAACAGCCTAGCCTACTTTTTTTGTCACCCTGAGCATTTATCAGAACCAAAGATGATACAAGAATCAAATATATTTTTGTCATGCTCTTTTTGGTTTAGTGTAGTATATAAAGAGCCCCAATGTGGCCTAGCTTTTCACTGCATACCCATCATAAAAATTCCTGAATTGTTATACATGAATGCAACCAGTGTTCTATAGGGAAATGCAAAAGAGACTACAGAGTACTCCTGTTGAAAATGTAATGTATTACATTGTTTAGAATGATAATAATGAATTAGTATACTGAAACACAATGCTGTTATATAAACTGTTACAAGAGAACATGGTGTTTCTATATTCATATTCTGTCTGAACAGTAACACAGTGTTCGTTAAAGGTATGGGACAAATTTGGAATATCTGACATCATTCAGTTCAATTGGATAGACAATGTTGCAGCGCCTAGCTGAAGGTAATAAAATATTATCCTGTATTTATTATTTATTATTTGTTTAAATTTCTATACCGCCCTTCTCCAATATAGGACTCAGGGCGGTGAACAGCCAAAGTAAAAACAAGACATACAAAATCTAAAAACTGTTTAAAATAATTAAATGTTTTGGCCGTAATTAAAAAATTCCAATTTAAAATCAGTTTAAAATTTAACTCAAGCCAGCCCAGCTAGCTGAAATAAATGGGTTTTCAGGGCCCGACGAAAAATCCGGAGGTCTGTTATTGTACGTATCTCTGGGGGGAGGTTGTTCCAGAGGGTGGGCCGCCACAGAGAAGGCTCTCCCCCCGGGGGTCGCCAGCCGACATTGTCTGGCGGACGGCACCCTGAGGAGGCCCACTCTGTGTAAGCGTACTGGCCGGTGGGAGGCTATTGGTGGCAGAAGGCGGTTTCGTAAATACCCCGGCCCTGAGCCATGGAGCGCTTTAAAGGTGGTCACCAACAGCTTGAAGCGCACACGGAAGACCACCGGGAGCCAGTGCAGCTCGCGCAGGAGAGGTGTCACATGGGAGCGCCTCATCGCCCCCATAATCCCCCGCGCGGCCGCGTTCTGGACCAGCTGGAGCCTCCAGGTGCACCCCAGGGGGAGCCCCATGTAGAGAGCGTTGCAGTAGTCCAGGCGGGAAGTGACGAGTGCCTGAGTGACTGTGCGTAGGGAGTCCCGATCTAGAAAGGGGCGCAACTGGTGTATCAGGCGAACCTGATAAAAAGCCCCCCTGGCCACAGCCGTCAAATGATCTTCTAAAGACAGCCGTGCGTCCAGGAGGACGCCCAAGTTACGAGCCCTCTCCATGGGGGCGAGTGATTCACCCCCAATAGCCAGCGATGGCATCAGCTGGCTATATCGGGACGCCGGAAGCCACAGCCACTCGGTCTTGGAGGGGTTGAGTCGGAGCCTGTTTCTCCCCATCCAGGCCCGCACGGCCTCCAGGCACTGGGACATCACTTCAAGGGCATCATTGGGGTGGCCTGGGGTGGAGATGTACAGCTGGGTGTCATCAGCGTACTGGTGGAACTCCACCCCGAAGCCACGGATGATCTCACCCAGCGGCTTTACATAAATGTTGAACAGAAGGGGCGAGAGGACCGACCCTTGTGGCACCCCACAAGCCAGGTGCCTCGGGGTCGACCGCTGCTCCCCTGTCAACACAGATTGCGACCGGTCAGAGAGGTAGGAGGAGAACCACCGCAGAACGGTGCCTCCCACCCCCAACCCCGCCAACCGGTGCAACATGATACCATGGTCGATGGTATCAAAAGCCGCTGAGAGGTCTAACAGGACCAGGATAGAGGAGCAACCCCTATCCCGGGCCCTCCAGAGATCATCCACCAATGCGACCAATGCCATTTCCGTGCTGTGCCCAGGCCGGAAGCCGGACTGGAGCGGGTCTAGATAGACAGCTTCATCCAGGTACCGGGGAAGCTGTTGCGCCACCACACTCTCAACAACCTTCGCAACGAAGCGAAGGTTGGAGACTGGACGATAGTTAGCCAAAACAGCCGGATCCAGAGAGGGCTTCTTGAGGAGGGGCCTCACAACCGCTTCTTTCAAAGCGGCCGGCAGGACCCCCTCACTCAAAGAAGCGTTAACAATCTTTTGGAGCCAGCCTCGTGTCACCTCCCAGGAAGCCAGTACCAACCAGGAGGGACACGGGTCCAATAAACAAGTGGTCACGTTCAGCCGTCCCAGGACCCTGTCCATGTCCTCGGGAGCCACAGGATCGAACTCCTCCCAGATAACACTCTCAAGACCTGCCTCAGTCATCCCATCCGGACATACCCAGTCAGAGGCCAGCCCTTCCCGAATCTGAGCGATTCTGTCATACAGATACTGCACAAAATCCTCAGCTCGGCCCTGCAAGGGGTCATCCCGCACTTCCAGATGGAGGAGGGAGCGGGTCACCCTAAACAGGGCGGCCGGGCGATTATCTGATGACGCGATAAGAGTGGCAAAATAGCTAGTTTTCGCCGCTTTTATCGCCACTAGGTAGGTCTTAATATGAGACCTCACCAGTGTTCGGTCAGATTCGGAGCGGCTGGTCCTCCAACTACTCTCCAGGCGTCTTTTCCGGTGCTTCATCTCCCTAAGCTCCTCGGAGATAACTCTAGTATAACTCTTTGAAACACTTAAATTTGTATATAGCTGAAATTACTGATGTCACCCTTTTCCTCATTGTTATTAAAAAATATTGGAAAGCCCACTGACCACTGTAGCATAGTTACTATGTTTATTAACTACTAGCTGTACCCGGCCATGTGTTGCTATGGCCCAGTCTTGTGGGTATACAATATTTTTGACCGAGTGCCAATAATGTCCCTCTATAGGTCAGGTCACGCCTATTTTGCCTCCATCCCAGGTTGCCGCGGATGTAAGAGCTGGTTTCCCGGCTTGCCGGTATAACCACCTTCACCTTTGCAGCTCTCCGCACCACAGGCGGCATCGGGGTCTCTGCCAAAGGTACGGCATACTCCGTTAGTCGGGAGGACGCTTGGCGGCGGTTCACATTTCCCGCCATTTTGGTTGTGGCTTTGGCGGTGGCAGCGCTGAGGGGGAAAGACCCGGCTCGCACCTGCCATTGTGGTGCTGCAATGTTAAAGTCCAAAAAGATAGTATAGCGTGTATTGCTTTTACATCCAACAGATGGCACTGTTTTTCAAAAAAGCATGTTTTTACCTGTCACAGGTGTGACATCTATATAGTATAGGTATATAAAAACACGTGCGTATTCGAATGCAATGTTGTGTCAAAATTTCAAAGCAATCGGTGAAGAACTTTAGGAGATTTACGATTTTGAACAAATGAACATTTACATTTTTATTTATATAGATTTCAATCAAACAATATTGAGTGTCTATGGTATAGAACAGAGGTGTCAAACTGGATTTCTTCGAGGGACGGATCAATATTGTAGTTTTACGCAGGCCGGCGGGGAACGGGAGGGGGGCAGGACAGACACCCCCTGTAGCCAAAACAGGGCGTAGGGGCGGGGTGCATGCAGCCCCTCTGCCCTGTCTTCAGCCTGAACGGCCCCTGCAGCACTTTACTGGCCAAAAGAGGGTGTGGGGGGGCCACATGCAGCCCCCCAGTCCCTCATTTTCACCCTCCCCAGCCTCCAGCAGCACTCTGCTGGCCAAAAACAGGCTCCACGGAGGCCTCCCGAGGCCCGTTTTTGGCCAGCAGAATGCTGCTGGAGGCAGGGGAGGCCGAAAATACGGGGAGGGGGGAAAGGCCAAAAACACATGGTGGCTGCACACGGCCCATTCGCCCAGCAGAGCCACTGCAGGCCAGTCCTTTGATATTTCCAGGCCAGCCCCATGGGCCAGATTTAAGCACCCTGTGGGCTGGATCCGACCAGCGGGCCTTGAATTTGACACCCCTGGTATAGAAGATGGATATCTGAATAAATAAAAATTATAAAATTATATAACACCATGCATAAATATTTTCTTAAATGCAATAATTGCATGGCAATTGTTTATATGGCAACATCAACAACTAGATATCCCAAAGGCTTCAATCTAACCATGCCATGAATACATTCGTACTCTGAAAGATTCTCAGCTCTTCCTCACATGCACATTGAGTGCATCTAACTCAAGGGGTCCGTAATCCAGCATTAAATTGTTAATCTTTTTTTTCCCTATTCAAGTACTTTACTTGGTAAAATACAGGAATAGTTTATTTTTATTTTAAGTTATAGAACTTATAGGGGTGCCTATCTTCTATACAATAATCCTAGGCAGTTTACAACAAAACCCATACAACAGAAAAACCACTCTTACAAAGGAGATTTTTCTAACATCCCATCGACTCTACACACGTTGATCCATCCCAAACTACTCCAATGGTCTTCATTGCTTTCTGAAAGGCGGAGAGAGTGGCTCTGCAGATCACGTAAGAGACTGTTCCAAATGGCCTGGGCAGCAATAGAGAAGGCACACCTCTGAGATCCAACCAGACAACAACATTTAAACGAAGGAGCCTGAAGCATGCCATGTCATCCAACCAGTTTTCTGTATTGCTGCTACTTAATACAGATACCTACTTGCTTTAGCTGGACAGCTGTGTGACCTTCATGCCTTGAGTGACCCTGCTGGGATTATATATTCTTTACATTTACATCTGTCATTCTTTGCACATCCCTCCCAGAAACACTTCCTATGATGAGACAACCAAACATGACTCGAGGGGGAGGAACAGTTTCTCAATGTCTACAAATAACTCCCTGCCTTGATTTCTGTGCACATCAAGGTAGAGTGTAACTTCCTTTTTTCATAAGAGAAACTGACAGTACTGCAACTTTGAAGCATATTATACTTGACAGTGTACACAGTTGTTGTAAAATTGTCTTAAAATAGCCATAAGCAAAAGCAAAAAAAAAAACGTAAGAGGACAACATCAGATAGGGAAGGAAAAATGTTTGACCCTAGTAAACTATTTTCTTATCTCCTTCTTTTATGTCAAGAGTGACATATAGCCATGTTGCTCAATCAAAACACAGGATATCTAAAACATAACAATGAATAACCCTGGAGTTGCTTCAGATATTCTTACTATTGCAATTTGCAAACAACATTGGCCTATAATTTGAATATAAGAGATGACAAAAGATAGTTTGAAAGGATTTAGATAAATTACCTTGTTCTCTTTATTCATACTGCCACTATTAGCTTCAGCCTTGTATACATTTGTTCAATTAAACATTATGCTGGTTTATATGCTGGGATACCATTTTTAGCATTCTGAAAGAAAAAAAATGAAGAAATTAGTTAACACATGAACTTTTAAGAAAGAAATTAGAATTGGAGAGAAAACTGGATTTACATTAACTAGAGGTATCAACATTTTTAGACCAGTACTGTTGTTCTTCCTGCTATTTCAGAATGTTTTATATGTAATCGGCATAATAAAGCCTGGTATCTCCTTCTTGTATTTCTTTTTATGGTTGCACATCTCACCCAAGGTAACTGAGCATTATCCTGATTTATCCTTTTGAGGCTTACCGAAAAGCATTATGTAAAAAAACTTATTTTACCATAGCCATAATGGATGTTAGATGTTAATATTTATGGCCCTTATCTATGATATTTATGGTATAGAAGATTTTTTATCCTTTGCATAAAGTTGCTTCCACTAAAAAGTATTAGTGTGACGGTATAGTTGGGAACTAAATAAAGGCTATGATTTTCTAAAAGAAAATGCAACATTCTTAAACAGCAGTGTTTAGCTACTTGGTCTTTTGAGTAGGATTTACAATTTCTCCAAGTTTTGTGGAAAATGTGTGGGAATGGATAGAAGTGGCAACCCACAGAAGCACAAAACAGGATTGCAAGTGTAGCGTAGGAGGAACTACATTTAATTCCACAGACCTTATACAGGTAGTCCTCAGCTTACGACCACAATGGAGCCCAGAATTTATGTTGCTAAGTGAGAAATTTGTTAAATGAGTTTTGCCCCATTTTACCACTTTTCTTGCCACATTTGTTAAGCGAATCACCGCAGTTGTCAAATTAGTAACATGGTTGTTAAGTGAATCTGGTTGACTTTGCTTGTCAGAAGATTGCAAAATATGATCACATGAGCCACTGCAACCATCATAACTATGAACCAGTTGTCAATCATCTGAATGTAAATCATGTGACCATGGGGATGCTGCAATGGTCATAAGTGTGAAAAATGGTCACAAGTCACTTTTTTCAGTGCCCTTGTAGCTTCAGACGGTGACTAAACAAATTGTTGTAAGTTGAGGACTACCTGTATTGCCTTTTGAGATCAATTTTACAAGGGTCTGTTTAAGTACAGGAGAAGTTGCCTCTGGTGTGTTGCATGACAAGTAGCCTAACAACACAATAAAGGGCTCATAACAACACAAACATTTCCAGTGCCCGATGCTACATCTGGCACAGGGCAGCTTTACGTTTGTGTTCATGACACTCAAGGGCAAGCAGTGTCACATTGAGAGACGTTTGTGGTTGCGCTTGATTTTATAACCCCTTACACAGGTACGTTGGTCGAGACCACATTAACCGCCGTGCCCTTAAAACCCACTTTTTCCAGCAAGCCGGGCTGGCTTAAGAAGAAATTTTAAATGTTTTAATTGGTTTGTATTTTTAATTTTGGGCCAAATTTATATATATTTTAATTGTTTTTAATATTTGTATTTCATGTTTTTTAATTCTGGCTGTACACCGCCCTGAGTCCTCAGGGAGAAGGGCGGTATATAAATTTAAAATAAAATTAAAAAAAAATAAATAAAAAAACCCAAAATCAGACAGTCCAGTGCAGTAGCTTAAAACTAGTCCTTCAAATGATCTATCACTATTGTTGTATGTACATTGAGAGTTTTATGCCCCGGAGACAAGTGTGTCCAATCACACTTGGCCAATAAAGAATTTTAATTCTAATTCGCTTCTAACACGTACCTAGGGTTTTTTTTTTTCCTTTTTGCTCCCTTCCCTAGAGGTTGGGCTGTATTTGAATGCTTGTTTTTCAAAGTTAATAAAGATATTAAAAAAAAAAAGACTGTACAAAATCCTGTTGCCGCTGCTTTCTACATTGCTCCAATAAACCCAACTTCTCAAATGCTTCCAAGGACAAGTTTTAATTTGATTTTTTACCAAACTTGGACGGCGCCCGTCTCACAACTGAAGCGCCAGCCCTGCCCAGCAATCCTTAGCTGCGGTACCGTCCCTTCCCTTCCCTTCCCTTCCCTTCCCCTCCAGTCCACTCACCTACGTACTTCGGACGACACAGCCCTCACGAACCCCGCCGCCAAACTTCCTTCTTCGCTTCCAACTTGAGAATTCTCCCCGCTCTCCATCCTTCGTTCGGACGGGGCTCCACCCTATTCTTCGCAATCTCGTTTCCCATTGGCTCGTGAGAGAGAAGGAGGGGCGGAGACATCTTGCAGCTTCGTTTAAAACGTTTGGCGCCACCGGGCTTGTATTTGGTCTAATAGTGTTTCTGTATTAGGCAACTTTAAAATGAGTGAACTTTACTTCCCAGAATTCCCTAACTAGCTAATACTGGTGGAGAATTCTGGGAGTTGAAGTCAACGTTATCTTAAATTTGCCAAGGTTGAGAAACGCTGGTCTAATACCTTTCCGGGGTCCTAGGATTTGGTCCCCCTTCCGCCTTCTCCATTTGCCTCGCAACCCAGGCGCGAAAGCCTTTAAAGGCATAGCTACCGCTATTTAGACCGAACGCGCGCCGTTCCTTCAACCAGATTGTTTTGTTGTTGTTTATTATTATTATTTTTATTTTATTATAAACAAACAAAACATAAAAAATCCATCTTCCATTAACAATTACAAACAGTGTGTCGATCGGTTACAAATCCTTTGTGCTTCATCCCCATATTCATTTTTAACTAATTGTCCAATTGTCTAATATATATATATCTTTATATCATTATCCTCATTTATCATTTATCTATCAGTGGCATTATCATTCCAAAAGAAATTATTTTCACATATTACATTGTTGTTGTTGTTTTTTGCCCCCTCCCTCTCTCCCTTCCTCCACGGAGCGATTTGAATTCAGCAGGCAGCATGGCGAGGGAAGAGAAAGAAAGTTTCCAACCAATCAGAATCCCAGAAGGTTTCCGGTCTTGGCCAATCAGCGTTCTTTCGCTTGGCCTGGGCGTGGGAAACGGGAGGGAGGCGGGAAGAAAATTGAGAGTTCGCTCGGTGGCGCCTAAGAAATCGCTGGGCGCGATCAAAGGGAAGAAAACTTCCCTGTGTGGCTTTGGGTGTATTTTTGCATTCCTCGGTTTTCCGGATTGGCCAGTTGAAGTTTCAATACCGGGGACATGTCAATCGGCTGAATACGTGTGAAGCACTTCATCTGCTTTCTTGCAGAGCAGAGTAAAAGGCAGATCCTTAGCCTCTCTCTTTCTGATTTCGCTTCTTTTTAAAAAGGAAGAAGATCTTGGTCCATATTGTTCCTTCCCCAAACAGAATTGGAAACAGAAACGCAACAAGTGAAGATTTTCTATTCTACTGTTCTTGTGGAATTTATTTGTTTATTGTTTTGGACAGCTTTTGTCTTGGAAGTGAAGCATAGAAATAAGATAAAAGTGTGCCAAACACTATATTCCTTAGATCAGTGGTCACTACTGACCACTTTTGATTTTCTGCAGATCACCAACATTTTCTCATGGACCACCAGTGGCCCACAAGAAAATTTTCGTGGTCCGCAGAAAAATTATTTGCAGTTTTTATATTGCGTTAAATCAGGAGTCCACAAACTATAGCCCCTGGGCTGGATACGTATAATTAATGTTTGTGTTGCTGCAGAGTCTCCCCCTTAGGGGTCTTTTTATGTGGGTAGGAGGGAGGGAGAAATTCTGACTTGGGGTCTGCTTCAGCCTCCTGGTGTGGGGCTTTGGGCAAAGGCTGGAGGGAAATGCCGCTGGTGGCGAAGAGCCGGAGGGCCTTGTTCCAGTGGGACTGCATCATGACCATCTCAGCCCGCTGAGCCTCCAAGCGCCTGTACCTGGTCTTGCACTCCTGCAGATCTTCCCTCTGCTTGGAAAGCCTATGCTTGTAGTCCTCAGTGAGGTGCTTCTGCTGAGCCTACTTCTCAAATCAGATCCAATTTGAACTGAGCCAGCTGTTTTGCCACCTCTTTCTCATGGTGGTTGCTTAGTTCCAACAACTGCTTCCTGTTGGAGCCCTAAGGAGCCCAGGCAGACAAGTAGTGGCTGGGAGGAGAGGGGCGAGTAGAGGCTGGTGAGGCGCTCCTCGACGTGAGTGACATTGAGTTGGCCACGCACACCCAGTCACATGACCACCTAGCCGCATCCACCCAGCCACTCATTAGGCAGATCATATTAGTGGTCCGCGGGATTTAAAATTATGAATTTAGTGGTCCCTGAGGTTGAAAGGTTGGTGACCCCTGCCTTAGATGATACACTATCAATTGTAAAGGAAAACTGGATTTCAAATCCATAACCTTGGGCTAATCATAATCCAGATTTACCTCTGGTTTGCTAAAGCTGATAAAATGAGTTAACCTTATCATTGATGCTTAATCAAAGAATATAAATGAAGAAAGGGAAGAAAAAAAATAAGGTAGTCTATCAACGCAAACAACTTTGTTCTTTCTGTTTAAGTTTTAAAGCATCTGCACCAGAGGAATTTGGGAAATTCATCCATCAACATAGCATAAAGATAATAAAGAAAAACAAAGCCATCCAAATAAAAATGTAGACAAAATTTAATATGAATTTCTACCATACAGAGATGGCAGATTCTTCCCCGCTCTAGAAGATGTTTTGGGAAGGAGAGCCATCTCAGGATTTTATTTTTCATAAACTGAATTTAGATATATTTTCCAGAATATATTACATCAATTCCTATAAGTAGGAGAAATAGAATGCTGGTAGTCCTCGACTTACAAACTTTTTGTTTAGGGACCGTTCAGTGCTACAATAGCACTGAAAAAAGTGACTTATGACTGTTTGAAGCATCCCTATGGTCATATGATGAAAATTTGGTGACTGGCTCCTTTATGACGGTTGCAGTGTCCCGGGCTCGTGTGATCAGTTTCTGTGACCTTCTGACAAGCAAAGTCGATGGGGAAGCCAGGTTCACTTTACAACTATATGGCTAACAAAACAATGCAGTGATTTACTTAAATGCGGCAAGAAAGGTCACAAAATGAAGCAATAACTCACTTGACAACTGTCTTGCTTAGCAACAGAAATCTTGGGCTCAGTTGTGGTCATAAGTCGAAGATTACCAGTACTTCAGTTTTCTAATCTGTAACGCTTTTACTGCCAGAAGTGAGCTGAAAAGAGAAATATTAAGAAAAGGTATCGAACTATCTGTTCTGAGAGGTGCAGAAGCAATTTTGCTTCCTGAGACACTGGCAACTTCAGTTCTTACTTATCTTTCTTTTTTAAAAAAATAAATTAAAAAAAATATTTGACTTACAACCACAATTGAAAGCAAAATTTCTGTTACTAACCAAGGTGTTTATTAAGAGAGTTCTGCCCAGTTTTTCCATGATTGTTATGGGGATCACTGAAAGTAAATCATGTAATCATTAAGCGAATCCAACTTCCCTCATTGACTCTGTTGAAAGTTGGTTGGGAAAGTCACAAATATCCTCAATTGCTGCAACCGTCATAAATACATACCAGTTGCGAAATAACTGATTTTTGATCATGTGACCATTAGGATACTGCAATGGCCGTAAGTGTGAATACCGGTCGTAAGTCACTTTTTTCAGTGCATTTGTAACTTTGAACAGTTGCTAAATGAATGGTCGTAAGTCAAAGACCACCTGTACTCCAAAACTTGTACTTCTATATGTTCTTAGCAGATATAATAGTACAAGCAGAGTCACAATGCCGCCAACATTTGAAATGCTGTGTAGTTTTCAACACAGCTTTCTGTGCTTCGTAGACATTTGGCTCATGATCTGAAATTAGTAGGGAAGGATTGACTCAGTGCTGAGCATATGCCAAAAGTGTCAAGTGCTCCTGGGTGCGGGTACAAATTATGGTGCGTGTCTCATGATACAAAGAAATCCATTTGCATTTATGTGTCAGATGATGTGATGCAAGTACTAAATTGTATCTTTGGTACCAGTAACATGACACTCTTAAACATTGTGGTTTATTTGTGGGTTCTTTTGGGTGCCACCGGCATCAGGTTTTAATAAGCTGAGCAGAGGAGTTCTTGTTAAGCCTACAGTCTCCCCCAGTGGCAAAACATCTATTGCAACACACAGTAAATGGGGAGTGTTGTCTTTTTTAGTTAGATAATTAGGCCAATTACAGGCAGACTAACTGTCTCTTCTTGGGTTTCTTTTCTGTCTTTAAAAATTGGTGGGTGATAAGAATTGGGTTGACTTGAATTTATTTCTAAGATTTGGGGAATAAGAAAGGATAATATTCCTCAATAATGATGGAAGCCAGAGAATCTAATATCATGTTTACGGAAGAAAGGAAATTGATAGTTATTAGATTTTGAAATGCTGTTTTCCTTAACCGTGCAAATCAATCTGCTTTGTTCCCAAGTGATTCCAATAAGATATAATCTCACTTATCTGGCATTCTTTGTTCTAACAAACACTCGGTGATTTGGTTTATACTGATTGTTCCAGTTCAACAAATTATTAATGTGTTTAATGTACACAGGTATCACAATTGCTTTGGCGTTATTAATATTTTTATCATGTTTAAATTGTTAAATACATTTGTTTATTTACTGGGAAAACATCCTATAAAACTCAAACGAATCCAATTAAACAGTAGTACATCTGTATATGCTATAAAAATGATATAGTAAAAAAAAGTCTTGTATTTGAATATAAGAATGTTTAATGGGATAGATCGATCTGATGTAAATAAAATGTATTGCTAGCGAGGATATGTACTTAAACTGCATGACAGGTCAATCTTGAAACATGCTCTGGCATTTGGTTTACTATGGTTTAGAAGGTGCTATGCCATGAACTGGAATTTTTTCTTAGAAGTATATTTTGTTGAGTTTAATGCATCTTATTCTATAATAAATGTGAATAGAAATTCAAGCTTATACATGTTTATTTGGAAATAAATCTCAGTGTGTTCAATGGAGCATACCATAGGACAATTTACATAATTTCATGTGATAGTTCATAAATAGCATGGCAGGTCCTGAAAATAATGTAATGAAGATTTTCATGCCTTTTTTTTCTGGGCAAATCTCACTGAGTGGGATATTCTAGAAGTAAATGTTTCCCCAATAATCATATTCTCAACTTTGCTTCCAAAATTAGGATCATAGCCTCACTTTTGGGCTTTAAATTTAAAAATGCATGTATGTAAAACTATGTTTGCTAAAAAAAAAAGACACTATCCTTTGGAGCACGTTTGTATTAGCTTACTCCCAGTAAAAGAAGTTACTGGAAAATATTACACAAAAACTAGTTTATCTGGAAAACCCTGAGTTAA